GAGCTGACAAAAGTAATAATCAATTTCCAAAATGACTGAAAATCAGCCAATGAAAATCAGATGTGGCTTTTGAATTGTGGTTTCAAAAGAATCAAACAACACAAATAAAACAGGCCTGCACAAAACTGATGGTATCCATCATTCAATATTTTGCGGCATAACTTTTTCAGGCAGTCAAAAAAATTCTGTAACTATCAGTAAGACGTCTGCACCAACAGGTATTTGGGCCTACTACTTGTGAGCACAATGCTCCAGTTGTCTCGGGTTTGAAAGATGCCTTCTCCAGATGGTAGAGTTTAAATAGGGTAGTTGGGTAGATTGTCCATAAATTTGTTCTTAGCCATTTTGGAGTGTTTTTAGCTGAGTTGCTTGGGATCATTATCATGTCGGAAGACCCGTGAGCAAGCCGCAGGACACATGGCATTATATTTTCCTCCTTGATAGTCTTGATTTCACTTTACCCTACACAGATTCATAACAGCCTGTGTGAGATATAGCAAAGCAGCCCCAGAACATAATCAAGCCATCTCAATGTTTCATTGTCGGGACAGTGTTATTTTTTTATTTATTGCTTTGTTTTTGCATCTGTAAAGATGGACTTGATGTGCTTTGCCAAGAGGGTCCTATTTTGTCTTAATCTGTCCAAATCTCCCAAAAGCTTTGTGGTTTCATAGTAGGCATTGTGGCAAATTCCAGTCATGACTTTTTTTAATGATTTGGTTTCAGCAATAATGTCCCTGTTGGGCATTTCCCATGAAGTGGACTTTTGCTGAAGATATGACAGATGGCGTAGTCTGATACCGATGTGACTTGACCTTGGATTTCACCCTTAATTTCTTTGGAGGTTATTCTGGGCTCCTTGGTCACCAGTCATATTAGACATCTCTTCAATTTGTCCTACCTACAGTCCCATGGGCATTAAACTTCCATATCATGCGTGCAACTCTTGTCACAGTCTTCATAGCCTGTTCACCTTTAACATGTTTGCCTTCCTAATCTCCTGAGACATTTCCCTCTTTTGCTTTCTTTGGCCTGTGCTTAGCTTTCGACATACCATGTTACCAAACAGCACGCTGACTGTTTATTATCTAATAGGCAAACTGACAAGTTGAAAGACACCCGTGATGCTAATTAGAGGGAGCACCTTACTTAGTTTGACGTGCCTACGCTCAAACCATTTTCAATTTTTTCCATCAATTTTGTCCAGGCCTTTTTCATTACATTTTGATGCTTCTGGGTTTTTTTTTCCATCAACAGAGGAGTGCTGGAAATTTTGTCTGTGTGTAGATTTTGAAGTTGGACTTGCTTGAAGGTCCAGAAAAGAAAGACCGTATAGGTCAATGATAGTTACACGGCTGAGAGGCGTGAAGACAAAGAGGGGCGGGTTCTGCGCATGTGTTTGCCTGCTTCTCAAATAAGTGCGAGTGCACGGAGGCAAAACAGACGAAGCAAGCCTGCCTGAACCTCTGGTAATCAGGCCAGGAGACCCCTGTCCTATCTTAAAAAAAAAGCGCTACCCCGTGACAACAGCTGGTTGCCGTCAGGATGAAGCTGTCCCTGTTGTTTTTATGTGTTCTTCATCTGGCCTTTGTCAGCGGAGGGCTTCTCACCAGCAATGATCTCCAGAGTGGCAGCAGCAATTTCACAAAGATCTCCAGGAGGGCAGGTGAGACGGCGCCACAAGCCAGATTGTTTTTTTTCCCCTTCACTTTATTGAGTTTCGTGTCATTATACAAGTAAAGCAGAGTAGCTATGAATTAAACCTTGGGTTGTCTCAATCAATAGAACCTACAGCCCTTGGCCCAAATATTGCCCATGAGATCATTGTATCTGGTCTACCCTGCAATTCTAAAAATAAATTCAACCTCAATGGAGCTGTTATTCTCATAAATAAAATAGATGTATTTTTTCATAACTTTAATGTGACCCTTGAAGTTCTTTGTAAAAAAAAAAAAAAAAAAAAAAAACCAAAACAAAACAAAACAAAACATGCATCCTGTAGACCTGGAGATGGTAGTCAGATAATCCTGGCCAGCCAAGGACAATTGGTGGGATTGCAGGAGACTGCGCTCGTGGAGCCCCGCAACACAGTCACCTCGTTGGCCACCCGGGTTGAGGAGTTGTTCACCCACGTCGAGCAGCTGGGCACCCGAGGGATGCTTCCCTCGGATCCCCGTGCTGTCACCATTGGGGTGTGTCCACCTCCTGTAGAACCCAACCTAGCATCTTCGACGTGCAACCAGCCACTTTTTTTTTTTCCTTGATAATGCACAGATGGCGGACTAGTTCTTGGGCTTTGGCGGTGAGCAAGGCGCAACCTGAGCTCCGGTCTTCCTTCCCGGATTTCCACCACCCGGTCTGTGGAAAGGAGGCCTGGGGACAATTGCGAGACTGTATGTGGAGTAGTTAGTCAGTTGTTCCGGATATTAGCAGCGGAAAGAGTGTTTGACAAAAATATTACAAGTACAGTTAAACTAGTTAGCAAATGCAAATGCATGTTCAGTTAAAAGATTTCAGTGATATCTTTTTTTTTAAATTTAGGGGCTTGGTCTATATACTGTTCATATTCAGTAAGTCGATCCTCATTTTAAATTGATAATTTTGCTCTAGCAAAATCTTTTTTTTTTTTTTTTTTTTAAATCAGTCCTCTTCAGCTGCTCAGTCACAAAGAATGATGGATCTGTATGCATTTTAATGCCAGAACAGTTTTTCTGCTCCAGCAACATAACTGATGGCAGGAGGAGTTCATTATGCATGCCTGCACCTCAATGCAAATGTGATTTGCAGGTATCTGGAAAATCTTCACCTGAATCCATGGGCTTCATGTTGACTGAAAAGCAGATGTCCACATTTGCTTTGGGTGATCTGTCCACCTCAAATGTCAGACTGTCGTAATTCACCTTAATGTTTTATTGGGAAAAACTAACTACGCATTAAAGGTGCACGTGCAAAAAGGTGAACCGCGACTACACTCACTCCTGTAATCCAATTTTTTTCACAAGTCAAATTGAAAAGCCTCCAGCACATCCATCGTTCTCATAGGATAGAAAGTGGGTGGATGTTAAATTTCAAAGAACCAGAGTCGCATTGTGATTTAAGGTTTGACCTGAGCAAATGTTTCGAGAGAGCTGTTCCTACATCTGATCAGACATGGAACGTTCTATGATGTGGTTTGGGTTTGTGCAGTACATACTGTACAAAATTACTTCAACCGTTTACAATGTGGCTGGTCTGGGGAGGCTGTTACAGCTACCTCAGCGTGAAATGGGAGGAAAACCATGAGCAGTAGGCACACAATTCCATTTTGATAATAGCAATTTGAAGGTTTTAGTTCTGTGTGATAAAGCAGACACAGGACGATGTGTGATTATGGGCTATGAAAACAAAACAAAAACATTTTGGTGCAGATCCAGGAGCTTTTGCAAAAGAACTTGAGCTGGAGAACTTAATTTGCATCATCACCTTTTTTTCCTTCCTTGGACATGCACATCCCCTCCACAAAACTTTCTAGAAATTGATTGAAATTTTGTCAGAACTGTGCAATCCCACTTGCACACACAGGGAACCCGCGAGTTGTTTGTGGCCTTGTGAAAAGAAGTGTAACATTCGAGCCACCACTTCAATCTGGCCCGGAACACCCATAGACATGATTGTTAACAGTTTTGCACTCGCAGAGGTCTGCACCATCTGGTTGCTCTTGTTTTGGCAGACATGGTTGTGAGAATGAACTTTTTCTCATCTGTTACACATCCAAGAAAAGTCAAGATTTATAATGCCAACGAGGCCCTCTAGTGAACACAAAAGGAAGTGATTGAAAACGTGTCTGGGGACACCATGTATTGTCATTAGTCAAACTCACGCGCGCGCGCACACACACACACACACACACACACACACACACACACACACACACACACACACACACACACACACGCACACACACACACTATTGTAAAATACGTGCCTTGGCTCAGTCACAGTTGGAAAACATTCAAGTTATTTTAAAGTTGCCTTTTGATGGAACTGTATCCATACAGTAGGCATCTGCAAGAATTAGAAAAAATAACTTCTGATTTTCTCTGAATAGGCAATTTTCCAAGCAGATACCGAACACTGTTTGCAAGAAGAGAGCAATATGAACAACAGAAGCTTCTGATGATGGTAAGTTGGTAAGAATGTATTATTATTATTATTATCATTGTTGGTATCATCTGTTCCAAGTTGCTGGTTGACTCGTTCATATTTTGAACAACCCCCTATACTCTACTATACTGTATGGTAATATTATTGTGCGTGTCAAACTAATTTTTTTTCAAGGGCAACGTTGTAGTTAGTTTCCCTCAAAGGGCCTTAATGACTGTGAAACCATATACCGTAATTGTATACAATAGAGTAATTGCTTCATCGTGTTATTAAATTTGGCCAACAAATTGATGGATAACAAGCTTCAAAGTGTAGAAATCAAGGCCTGTTTGACGATGTTCCAAAGTGTTTTAAAAAGAGGGGTGAAAACAAAATATGACACTATTTGCAATTTTTTTTAAAAGAGATTTTATTGACAAACATGAAATAAACACATGATTTGCTGTTTGGCTTGTGGGCCACATATGGCCCCAGGGCCTTGAATTTGAAACTTGTGTCATACTAAAGGAATGATCATATTTTTAACTTTATAAAAGTCGATTTTCGATGCCTACTTTTCATCAATGGTTGTTTTTCTTTTCTGGTGACCCCTCAGAGGCCGAAAAAAGTGCCTGTTCCTTCCAAGGACTCCCCTACCAAGGCACCACCAAAACCTGCTTCTGCCACGTGTTCCCAGCTGGGACAAAGTTGTTTGCCACATCAAGGCTGCTGTGTGCCGTGTTCCACCTGCCACTGCCACTTCTTCAAAGCCATCTGCTTCTGCAGAAGGATAAATATGCAATGCACCAAAAATACCTAAAAAAAAAAAAAAAAAAAGTACATCTGCCACCATTATGTTCATGCAGACGTAACTCATCTTCACTTTGAAGGACTTAAAAAGGCAACCGCTGGCACAGCATTATATGCTTTCAAGAACTAGGGGGATGAATTTGAACAACAATGCTATTAAACTACTATCAATATTTTTTTATACTTTTGTTAAAATGTACGTCATTTTGTAATATTGTATGCAGGGGCACCATTAGGGGGAGTCAAGTGATGATGATTGTAAGGGCCCTTGACTGACAGGGGCCCCAGAAAATTGAATTTTCAGATGCGGATGTGGACTCCACTCTAACTCCCTGGCGGGGCAACTGATTTTATGCTAACGTGCTAGTAGATAGATATCATTCTGCTACTGTAGTGTTCTCGGTTTTGTTATATATATATATATATATATATTGTTTCCTTTCTATCAGTCTTAAATGCATTATCTGCACACACACACACACACACACACACACACACACACACACACACACACACACACTTGTCAAAGCAACCCTAAAATGTGGGTCAAATCTGGCCTTCAAATATGGTAAGGTGAAACGTTGGCTTTGTGCTCAAGATACAGCAATACAAGTATGGCTTTTCCGCCATCTTCTGACGTCTTGATAAAGAACTGTGTTGAAGTGAATTTAAACAAAATGATTTTTTGTTTCTCTTTTTTATCATCTTGTGACATCTATAGACAATAATTACACTTTTTGGGGAGTGCATTAGTTGACACCATGGCTTGGACTCCATGTACTTTTCTGCTCATTTTCTTCTCTTAACAGCCATTGTGGAAGCTAGCCCAAAAAGCAAAGAAAATACACATGCCGAGTTAATCTACAGGTTCATAGTGAACTGAGCTATAGCACAGTAATGACAATCCTTCTTTGCAAAAGCCAATGAATTGAGGCAAGTCACATAATACTGAGAGATGAGGTCATTTATTTTTCTATCTCTCACTTTTCATGTGAGATTAATTGAAAGCTTACAGTAAATAAACCCATAAACCACACAATAATGTCAATAAGTCTCATGAATCTTAATCAAAGTCGAGCTCACAATAAGAAAACAGTTTATAGTTGCTCTAAACTCTACCACAGGTTCTTAGACGTGTTGAATTGCATGTTTTTATTGTTTCAGTACTGTATTTCTTTGGGGCCTGACTCCATAGCGGATTATTTTGGCAGGACTGGCCATAATGTACTGTTAAAAAAAATAAGACCATTTGCATGTGTGCATTTGTGTACCAATGCATGGGCGATGGCGCAATATAATAGATACGGAATTAATGCTGAAAAGGGCCAAGGTTGGCACTGACAAGTAGTTACACGAGGGTCTGCGTTGTGCACTGTAACATTCGCGCACACAAGCAACATAGTTCAATTGTGTCGAGCACGGTAAAAGTCCATGAGTTTATGCAATCTCGTGCATAAATATACTGCAAAGGTACTAGTTCCGAGTGCAACGTCTGTCCCGTTATTACACAGCGATTTTGTTTCAGGGGGTGGCGTGTTCGTCGCCGCTCAAGTGTATTTTTTTTTCTTCTCCCCCTCCCTGCTTGGTGTTTTCTGTACTGGGATGGCGAAAGATCCGGACAAGATTGGAGGCCTTTACCCTTAACAGGACTGACTGATAGGGAGTCACTGACGCCGAAACAGCCCGTGGGAAAGGAGAGGCAAACAGACAAGGTATCGACAAACGCTGAGGCCTACGATGGAATCGTCATGACTAAATGACGATCGTAAAATGTTTTCCACATATCCAACAAACGGTTCTGTACGATGGCGGACGATTAGCAAATGCTGCTAAAGTTTGCTATCAAGCCGGCCAGCTGACTCGGCTTTGTGAGTAATGTCAGCATTGTGTGTTAACCCGTGTGTAAGATGCGGGCATATATTGTAACACAAATAGAACCCGTTGACCGGGGTGGTCAACTGTATAGAAGCAGAATGAAACTGTTTTCTTGTAACGTTAGCTAGCTATGCAGCTAACTTGACAGTTAGCAAGCTAGCTTGGTGACTTTAGCTTTTGGCTGCCGAACATTATCCTGTCGTTCGCAAGCCTTATCTGACAGATAAAAATGTGACAGTTGCAGTTCAATCATGGATTTAGATTTGCAGTGAACCACACGATGTCTGGTAAAATGAGCTTTTAAGTCTGGTAAACTTCCTTGAGATACCACTAGCAAGACAGTACATGTCCAAAGATAGTAAGTGGTGTTAACGTCATTGTTTTGAAATCTCACCAAGGTGTTATACTTCTAAAATCAACACAGGGATGAGCTGTGCAGAACAAGATGACATGAACGGTTGATGGTTATAATCTGGCTTTTAATAGCTGAGTCAATGACACTAAAAACTAAGACAAGGCAGGCGTGCTGTTTGAAGAGCAATCCTGTGAGGTAGAGTATGACAACCTGCAATGATAGTGACATTATAGAGAGGTTGCACACTCTGTACTTAATGCTGACTTCATATTGTTATTCAGACCCTAGACTAGTTAAGACCAAATCAACAAGAACTCCAATGGGTGTAGTCAAATAAAAGGAGTCCATTTTGCCTCAATTTCTTCAGGACACAATTAATTAGCAATGCAACTGAAAGCCGAAAGCACTAGCACAGCCAATGAAAATATATACTGTCAGCTGATCAGCTGTCCAACACGTTTACATAACCATCATTTGACAGCCGCTGAAACCAGCCTTTTTTATGATGTACAGACCTGCACTCTTGTGCGAATGACTCATAGGCTCATTGTTCTACCCTTCGAGTTCTTCAGTATGCAGAAAAAAGCAGATAAGCAATCATTCTACCTTACGCTAGTTTCATTGTCCGGGGTAATTTCATCTTTCTCCAGTGATGGGTTCTGGGTTGTGGCTGATCCACACTGTAGTCACTGTAGTTTGAGGTCAACAGTGCCAGTAAGTTTGTCTTCCAGGGTGTCTCTATTCAGTAATTGCTGCATTTATCTTTAATTCCTGAATAGTTGACTAGTTCCTGCTGCTGAAAAAAAAAATCTCACCATTAGCTGCCACAAGCCATGCTTTATTTTAGGGATGCTATGGGCCAAGTGATAAGTGGCACCAGTTTTCCTCTAAACATGGCATCTGGCTTACATGCCAAAGGGTTCAGCTTTTGTCTCAGCAGACGAGCCAGGTTGATCTCTCATGGTCTACAGTCCTTCAGGGGACTTTTGGCAAACTCCAGGCAGCCAGTCATATGCATTTTACTAAGATGTTGCAACTCCCTGGCTAGCCTAACGTACAGATCTGATTGGTGGATTGTTGCTATGAGTGTTGTCCTTTTTGAAGGCTCGCCACTTTCCACAGAGGAAAGCTGGAGCTGTGACAGAGTGACCGTTGGGTTCTTGGTCACCTCCCTTGGCACTTTTCAACCGATGGCGCAGTGTAGGTGGGGCAGCTGTCGACGGTGTCCTAATGGTTCATGACTTCTTCCATTTATAGATGATGGAGGCCACTGTGCTCAGTGGGAGCTCCAAAGCAGCAGACATTTTTCTGCACCCTTCGCCATGTGTATGACCTGAGACAAGTCCAAGGTCTACAGACGATTCATTTAACTTCACGCTTAGATTTTGGGCCGACGTGCATATTTTTCATCTTCACAGAGCACATGTTATCCATTTTTGTGTCTTCGTCGAGTGTTGTAATTTGAATTACATTTTTTTTTCTTTCAGATCATGGGACACGGAGTGGACTAAACTGGAAAATCAAATAACACACGCTAACTGTAAGTATTCTTAAAGAATGCAGGACAAAAACAAAAAAACAACGATATATGCATCAATGGCTGTCGTCCACAATGCCATGACCTGATTTGTAAAACTCTTCCACTGATACAATTTCAATTACACTTCGTCGTGACACAAGATAATGTATCACTGGCACTGTATCTTTATTCTGTCTAGTTAAACATTGCTTTTCCAGGAAAGGCAGCTGAGTGCAGTTTCTCATTTGCAGTGCCGACCTGGCTAAATGTTACCAAAAATCATATCGCATAGGTGCCAGTGCTGGAGATTCATATTCCCCAGTAGGTTAAAGAATGGAACCTTCCCAGAGTGAAACACTTTGGTTTGAACTGTAGTCATTCATTTTGTCATGGGAGACTTCAGATTTGTCAAAATGACAAACTCCACTACGTATTTTTTTCCCCCGTTTTTGTGTGTGTGTGTGGTTCCGCAATCGAAGTGAAACAATGGTCGCAAAGTGTTATGAAATAGAACTGGAAATTGCGACGGAGGAACTTGACTGGCTGCTCAGCACAGTATGGGCGAGACAATGAATGAAACATCAAGTACATACTCACAATAATTTGATCATTTTATTATTGGTGACCTCAAATAACAGGGCAGCTTGTTCAACTTTGGAGACTCCACTGTATATTTTGTTTGTGCAGAATATTTCAAAAATATATTTTTAGTGTTTAGAACAATATTACAGATGACTACGGGTGCTGGTATGGCTTATGTATTTGCAAAAGCATTGAAACATTGATCAAACTTGATAAAATAAACACACAAGAAAATACAGATATGCGGTGTAATATTCTGTGGCCTTCTACTATTTTGTTCATTTAATCTGAATTGTAATGCAAATCAACATGACAGTTTGGGTTATGTAATATTTTAAGTATAAAAAAAGTTGAAAGTGAAGAATAGGTTTAATTGAATGCAGATAATGAAAAAACTCAATTTGTATAATTACAATGTATTGATGTAATTGTGCATGTAATATATGCTCAGCCTGTGTGTGTTGGTTTGAGGTTTCCCACTGTGGTGTAGGACATGGCCACAGCCTCGCTCAGAGCAGAGTCAAGCCCTAACTACAGAGGAACATCACAGCTCCATGCAGTTGGTGAGTCCAATTTATGTACCGGACGAGATACATTCAGTGCTTGTGGGGATAACATAAATGAGTAGCTAGATCATGACTGTCGAGTCCAGATTGCCTTACGTATGCATTACAACGCTGCTGCCATGAGATTTGTGGAGTGGTGGATCGCTCCCAACCACTATTTCACAATAATGAGCATGAAGCCAAATCCATGTTACTGATCGTGCCTGTGTAATTCCTAACGCCTGTACGTGTTGGGTAATTGCTAACCTCCATGTTTTCCAAAACAAAGGTAAATTGCTTCTGTCTGTGTCCTCCCAATAGTTTCCTGTGCCAAAATCAAGAGGAAGAAAAGCTTATTTGGAGTTGCCATTTACGTGGAGGTGACAGCAGAGGGGGAGTCGCATCGCACAGCGAAGTCCCACAGCTCATCTAGTCCTAAATGGGATGAAAGGCTTACTCTGTAAGAGGCAACACATTTTCCCTCATGTGCTAATCATTGGATAGTTCATGTCTCAACTTTTTATCCAACATTTTGAGTGTAACTGTAAATCTTATGTGTCTTTAAACCAATAGGAATGTAACACCACGCAGCCAGGTGGACTTCAAAGTATGGAGTCACCACACCTTGAAAGCCGACGCCCTGCTAGGCAAAGCCTCGCTGGACCTGATAGAAACCTTGGAGCAGCATGAAAGAAAATGTATGATTCAAAAGACAATATTTCCAAACACATCCACGCTATATTAGTGAAGCTGTGTTCGCCATCGCTCCCATGCCGCTTGCAACTTCACTTTGTCTCCGGCCACTGTCGGCGGACCCCTTTCTTTGTACAATACAGAAATCTATTGCATGTTGGTTGGTTCTTAACCCATTCCTTTTTGTTGGCTGCACAGTGGAGAATGTGAAGGAGGTGCTGAAGCTGAGTGTGGAGCACAAGGGCATTTTGGTGCCTGCGGGGGAGCTGACGGTCTACCTGGATGGTCTTACTGTGAGCGATCATGAGGAACTGGCACCATTAACCAATGGGAATACAGCAAATGGCACGAGTAAGATCATCATTTTCTTTTGCCACTTCTGATTTCATGATCCACTTGTGAAATGTAAGCAAAAAAAAAGTACAAAAAAAAGGAAGGGTAATATACTGTAGGCCATGAACATTTTGCCTGTCACATCCATTATAGGTTGATAAAAAGTGAATTCAATTACATTCTGTTGTTGTGACAAGCATCCAGTATTTCTTGGCAGAGTCAGTGAGGAAAGCATCCTTTCCGACAAGATAAGCCCTCGGTGTGCTTACCTTTTAATGTCATTTTTTTCCCCCCACTTCTGATAAATCTAGTCCTGTGTCAGCACCCTCATTAATGTTTTCTGGGAGATCACATGCACACTCCTCCCACGCATTTGCCCTCAAATTGTCAATAACGTCCTCCACACCTCCCCAGAAGTCCAGCAGAATGGCGACGCCTTCCACGAAAATGCAGAATCCTCTTCCTCTTCATCAAGGGCTGCCAACAGGTAAAAGCTTTTCAGTAAACGGTTTCAGATTTCCATCCATAAATCACATGACCACCAAATATTTTTAAAATGACCAGAGATCAAATTTTGTCTTTATTAGGGAAAAAATGCTCAAAGTACAAATTTGTTTACAATCGTCCAGCCAGATATGCAGATGCAAGGTCACTAAACTAACTACATGAAAAATATCGTGTAGCAACAACAAAATAACTGAAGACACTTGTGCAGCTGAGCTTCATCATGTGGATGTGACAAGGCTCTGTCGTCTAATGAATATCATCACCTCCGGCAGTGAGCCTATAGCCAGTGTTGTGCAAAACATGCCGTCTTGTTGTGAGCACATTGCTTGTCGTCTTGCCCTGAACCTTATCCTAACATCCCAATTTCATTCTGTTATTTTTTTTTCCTTCCCACAATTGGTTTTCATTATCTGCATTACAAAAGTCTTAGTTTTTGAAGGGTTAATCAGATATAGTGTTTATAAATGCCCTCACCTGATGAGGTCGATTTGCTTCCACCTGCAGCACAGTGAATGGGACAGACCTGGGCCCGCGCTCAGCTTCCTGTTCAGCCTCGAATGGATTGAATAGTCAGGTGCCTTCCAGTTCCTGTAGCCCGGCCCTCGGTCACATCATCAATGGCGATGTCACTCCCAACTCCACACCGAGCCACCAACCCTCAGATAGTGATACGGAGAGTAGGACTCGTGAGTATAAGCTTTACCTTGCACTTGACAGTATCTGAACAACAGTCCCTACGCCTGTTTAGTGCATCATGGCATCATTTTGTGAATCCACTGGTGTTTCCGGTGTAACTAATGAATGCATATTGTTGTTTTGTATTCAAATGCATGCTTATTTAACGTTTGAGCTTTTTGTTCATACTGCTCGTGCTTTCAGATAATTTTATTATACTGTATCTGTTGCTGTATCATAATTTTCAAGTGACAAAATGTACAATGCTCAACACAAATGAATCCCACTTTTAAAAATATGCACTATGTCCATTTCTCAGTGATGGCTAATCACATTAGAAAATAACGATTATGAAATGAACTTTAAGGGTTTTTTTTTTGTTTGTTTTTTAACAAATCGGGTCATCATTTGATGTGACAGGTGATGCGTTGCCTCAAGCAGAAAACGATGAAGACTGTGCTCCAGATGCTCTTCTCCCAGAGTCCGATACAGCTCCAAATGAGACTGCTCAGCCGCCACCAACACAGGCTCCAACCTTGTCTTCTGCTGCCAAGCCGAATGACGGTGTTGTTGCCGCTGATGCCGCCGCTACTGCTGCCTCTTCCGCGTGCACTTCCTCAGCACACGGTGCTACCGCCATCCCGACGTCCTCATCATCAGTGTCCGCCTCCCCAACACCGGGAGAAACAAATGCGTCAGCTGAGAGTGGGAGCAGTAGCAGCGCTGCAACAGTAACTACCGATGGGGCCAAACCCAGACAACAGGCCCCTGCAGCTGGGGCCCCAGATCCTCTTCCACCGGGGTAAAACAAACAAACAAAACCATTTTTTCATATTCCAAATACCATTATCATGTCATCATTGTACTGACTCTAAGAACTCGTTGTAATTCCCATTTTATTTTATCTTCAGAATCTTTCTGAAAACATTCTTTCAAATAAGGGCCCTTGTCATCAACCACATGATTATGCCTCACAGGTGGGAGCAGAGAAAAGACCCTCATGGAAGAACATATTACGTAGACCACAACACAAGAACTACGACCTGGGAAAGACCACAACCACTTCCACCGGGGTGAGCTTGAATTTCGTTGTTTTCTAGCCTCAGCCCACTTAGGGTAATTGGAAGTGAATTCAGTGGGTCGGGAAAAGAACCTCTGATGCTCCTTTGAAAACCAGACCAAGTGTTCTATGCACCCATGTCTACTTTTGCGGTATGTATGTGGAAATTACATACAAATGTAGTTCACATTGCTCTTATTGATGGATAATGTTTGAAAATAAAAGTATCAATATCAAACCCATCTCTTAAATGGGGGACTGACAGACTGTTTCCCCCTCTCTTTCTCATTTGTCTATTAGATGGGAGCGCCGTGTCGATGACCGAGGCAGGATCTATTACGTGGACCATAACACCCGAACCACCACGTGGCAGCGTCCCACAATGGAGTCAGTACGGAATTTTGAGCAGTGGCAGAGTCAGCGCAGCCAGCTGCAGGGAGCTATGCACCAGTTTAACCAGAGATACCTCTACTCTGTAAGAATATTATCACCCCATTTCATGCATCAGCTTATCTCGTTCCTCCAGCATTAGAATTACACTTGCCTATCCCAAAGACATTTCAAAGTAAAACCTTTGGCTTCACCAAGTTCAATTTTCATAAATGGACGTGCGTCTACATTCCTCATTTTAGGCATCCATGATGTCTGCTGAGAACGATCCACTAGGCCCACTACCTCCTGGTTGGGGTGAGTTCACATTCTGTTTGACTCAAGAGGCTGGATATACTGCATGGGTTGACAGTTTGAAGCTTTTGTATATATTTACAGATGTATTTTAGAATAGCTTTACAGCGCATACTTGTTATCAGTGGGTTGTCATTGCAAACTTCACTCTTGATTCTATTATTCTATTTCTGTTGTTTACAGGCCACGGGAGATGCATTTGTGTCCCTTTTTAAGATTCTATCCGATTTTATTTTCTTAAATGTTTCTAGAGAGGCGTGTGGACTCCAATGACAGAGTATACTTTGTCAACCACAACACCAAGACAACACAGTGGGAGGACCCCCGAACCCAAGGGTGAGCTAAGACGAAATGGGATGTCTAACACATGAAATGTTGCGAAAAGAAGGTCCGAATATCAATTTGCCAACAATTGGGAAAATATTGAAAAATGTTCAGTTAAACTTGAGAGTCACACCAAAATATTGATTCAAACATGAAATCTAAACAATTTTTGTATGCGTTTCAGGCTACAGAATGAGGACCCTCTCCCTGAGGGTTGGGAGATCCGCTACACAAGGGAAGGTGTTCGATACTTTGTCGATCATAACACCAGAACGACGACATTTAGCGACCCCCGCACTGGAAAGTCCTCTGTGTAAGACTAAAAAAAAAAATACTTGCACATTTATTTTAAATGTAGTCTAAAATGTAATCTTTAATGGACAATCTTTATTAGTCAGATCTTATTTGTCAGTTCATCATGCATGTAATTGATTTGCACAATTTATTAGTGACTCTATAGAGAGGAAGACATATGGCTGAATTTCCTGGCAAAAGCCAGGAAACTGTTTGGCACATGTGTCCCATTAATGTCACAACATTGTGATAGAAGCACCTACTCATTCCATGTAAAAGTAAAATCTGCCACTCCACTTAACTTTTTGTCTTTGTGTGTGTTCAGCACCAAAGGTCCACAAATTGCATACGAGCGCAGCTTCCGGTGGAAACTTGCCCATTTTCGCTACCTGTGCCAGGTCTGTGCATGTATGCTTTTCCTTTTTCCAGCTTGCCTTTTGAAAACTATATTATGCATTTTCAATTCATATTTTATTTGTACTCAGTCAAATGCCCTCCCGAGCCATGTGAAGATCACCGTCTCCAGACAGACGTTGTTTGAAGACTCATTCCAGCAGGTAAATGGATTGTTGCTTCAGTGTTGTCATCGGTGTTAAAGCACACACACACAGTCAAAAGATATACAGCCCTTTACCAATGCTACTTGATCAGAGTGTCTTTTTGTTTTTATTTTGTATATTTTTTAGATTATGGCCCTGAAACCTTACGACTTGAGGCGGAGACTTTACGTCATTTTCCGAGGCGAGGAGGGTCTTGATTATGGCGGCTTAGCCCGGTAATACATGAAAATGAATGCTATAAGCTGCATCACTGAAACCCTCTGAAACCTGAAATTTATTCACTTGTTTTTCTTGCCATCTTGTCCTTTTCTTCATCTCCTTCTTTCTCGACAGGGAGTGGTTCTTCTTGTTGTCGCATGAGGTGCTGAACCCCATGTACTGTCTGTTTGAGTACGCCGGCAAGAGCAACTACTGCCTGCAGATCAACCCAGCTTCTGCAATCAACCCGGACCACCTCTCATATTTCTGCTTCATCGGCAGATTTATTGCAATGGTATGCTGGCAAAACCCCTCTCTCACTGCAATATTAATGGCCTACAGTGCACGATTGAAATGTGTTTTGATAGTCTACATCTTAACTTCAACAGATATAATTTGTTAGACTGTGGTGTAGAGCTGCAGTCATTCATCAACAACTAATGGATGATCAGATATTAATAATTATTTTTCAAAAAAACGATTATTGATTTAGAGACCTTCTTTAACTCATTGTCCAAATCCTCAGAATTTCTGCCTTTCAACAGTAAATATTGTCAGAGTTGTGATGTCTTCCATGAAAGCCAACTAAATATATTTGTCCTGAACATGAGGAGGAGCCTTTGAAAGTGTCGAAGGTCTTTCTAGAATTTGGAAACCACGTGCGGTGAAGTCGCGCCGGAAGTGACATAATGTGGCCGAAAATGCGGCCTGTGAATTTGGACACAGCTTGCGTTTCTTCCCAAGCCAGTACAATATGCAGAAAATAGGTTATAAAATTACCATATGCTGCTTTTGAGACTTCTGTTGAGGTGGAAATAGTCTACTTCAAATTGAAAATGTCAATTATACATGCGCAAAGCTGCTCGGAAGGTCTCAAAACAATGAAGAGGAATACGTGATAGGCCCGGTACACTTTGGACTTCTCACCAGCTAGTTGCAGGGCATCTGTAGACAAGCAACCATTCACGCTCTGTCCATAATTAAACTAAGTGGTGGAACCTAATGCAGGTTTAGTTTATTCGATGGAATCAATTTTATTTCTCTCTGCGCCACAGGCACTTTTTCATGGAAAGTTCATCGACACGGGCTTCTCCCTGCCTTTCTACAAACGAATGCTCAATAAGAAGCTCATCCTCAAAGATTTAGAATCCATCGACCCAGAGTTCTATAACTCGCTTATATGGATCAGGTGAATATTTTGCCGTCATCGATATTGTCTGTTTCCAAAGTATCAAAGGTACTGGAAACCGTGCTCTTACTCTGCATTTTTGTTGTCGTTTTTTAATGTAAAACTGTGTCTTAGGGACAACAACATTGAGGAGTGTGGTCTGGAGATGTATTTCTCAGTGGACATGGAGATCTTGGGCAAAATCACATCCCATGACCTCAAACCTGATGGCACCAATGTCCTTGTCACTGAGGAGAACAAGGAGGAGTACATCAGGTTCTGGCACTGGCTTTTTTTTTCTTTTTTTGTTGAGCAGAAATGTGCCCCCTGATATCAATTTGCATACCCGACATATCGAAATGTGCTCTGTGGCTTGCAGTTTAATGGCAGAGTGGAGGTTCTCCCGTGGAGTTGAAGGTCAAACCAAAGCTTTCCTGGATGGGTTTAATGAGGTGGTTCCACTTCAGTGGCTCCAATATTTTGATGAAAAGGAGCTGGAGGTAAGCCGCATTACTATTCACTGTTTTATCGCAACGCTGTACCCGTGGCGAAACAAACAGAAGGATCAGTTATGATTTGGGGGTGCTTTGTCAAATCTTAAACAGTGAAGTACCAACAATTATGTCCATGTGTGTTTTCTGTCATTTCTGTCCTGTGTGTGTGTGATCCAGGTGATGCTATGTGGCATGCAAGAGGTGGACTTACAGGACTGGCAGAGGAACACGGTGTATCGCCACTATACCAGGAACAGTAAACAGATCATCTGGTTCTGGCAGGTACTGTCACATAAACAACACACATGCCATCCAGATGTGGAGAAGCATATTTTTCTCGCACGCAGCTTATGAAGGAGGCATAAAAAGAAAGCTGCAAACACATGACAACACTTGAAGCAAATGTTCTCTTTTCTGTCCAGAAGTATTTTGACACCTCTCCAGACTCTGACGTATCTGTGTTCCCTAAGTAGCTGTTATTGCTTTACTTGCCTTTGTCTCGCGGGTAGCATGTACATAAAATTGGGTGGTTGGAGTTGCACTAGCTAGCCAAGTACTTTTTATTTTCTAATCAAACTATTAGAGTTGTACCAACCGCCGTCAGGTTCTGTGTTAGAGTGGATCAAAATGATTCTCTGATTTCTTGACAGAATTGAACAATTTTTTAGTTTTATAATCGTTACATCTAGTAGAAATTGAAACAGTGCATTATAACTACTGTTTTTGTTTTCAAACTTTAATATGCGCCCAACTTGACGCATAACTTAACAGGAAGCTTAACTGGCTTTGCTGTTGCTTTGTGTAACTGTTAATTCTTTATGGAACAGTCTGTCAAAACTTAGTTGTTGAAATACACAGGCAACAAATAACATAAACAAGAATAAATCACCAAAAACAAAAAAACATGCCAGGGGCCACCAACTTGGAAAATGTATAACAGTACAAATGATGGGTGTGTATTCTCCCTTCTTTCCCTGCATGCAGCTTGTGAAAGAAGTAGACAACGAAGTGCGTCTGCGCCTCATGCAGTTTGTCACTGGAACCTGCAGGCTTCCCCTGGGCGGCTTCGCTGAGCTCATGGGTGAGCTGGGCCACACAAAGACTTCTCACATATTGTTCTGTAATTACTTTTTTTTTTTTTTGCCTCCTTGTATTCTTGACCTTGCTTTTCATTGTAGGAAGTAACGGGCCTCAGAAGTTCTGCATTGAGAAGGTTGGCAAGGAAACATGGCTTCCCAGGAGCCACACATGGTGAGTGGAAGGCTCTGACATTTTTTTGTCATTAAGTCATTTGTTCCTCGGATTTCAGAACAAAACTTGAATAATCCCAACTTGAATAGTTCCCCAAATAGATGTGATTCGCTCTTTGTGAGGTCACCTATTTGTAGATATTTGGGGGTAGCATCTTGGTGCCATGGAGCTTTTTTGAAGTCAGGCAAGTAGTGCTTTATCGCCATCTAGTGACAGGTATAGCCATTTATAAATCTCAGATTTTCACAGTCCCTCACACGACTATCATGTAAATGCAGGGGGTCCGCAGTTTATGATTAAGTTCTGTTCCTGCATTGGTGAAGTAAACCAAATTAGTTTGTAAGATGCACCTTGTACGAATTCAGTTTCATCAAACAAGGACCTCTTGTAAAACTACGTCTAGCAACTAGCAAGTCAACCACCTGTAGCTACGTTTGGCATATTCAGTTTTATTAATTCCACTGGCTCGTGAGTGGATTGAGCATTATTGTTCTTAAACTAATCCTCGGGTGACATCGTGTGTCTACAGCTTCAACCGTCTGGACTTGCCCCCTTACAAAAGCTTCGAGCAGCTCAAAGAGAAACTCCTCTTTGCCATCGAGGAAACAGAAGGATTCGGACAAGAATAGACAAAGCGCACCTCCCACGGTTTCCTCCTCCGCCCTCCTCATCACTGATTGTTTGACCGAAATCAATCAAGTAATTGCACAAGATAACCACCGATGTATATAAGCTATTTTTCAGTTTTAACCAAATCTTAATTTGCAGCATTATTCTTGCCGCAGTCTTGTTTTACCAGACCTTTAATATATGGAACTCCCAACAAGAAATATGCAAGCCACCCTAGCTTTTTGATCTTGTTTAAAAATGCAGAAAACACGGATATTTTCAAGATGAAACCCCCTTAAAGCTTTCAAGAAAAGACTGCGTTTTGGGACATGATTTATTGTGAAGCTCTAGTTCTATAGAGCTTTTAAGTAGTAGTAGTAGTCTGGTGCCTGATATCACTTAAACCAACCATCACTCATAATTCATTAAACTGCAGATTTAACAAAAAATGTAAAACACCTGTAAAATGTTTGTGCTTTAAAAAATGGCCTGTACCATTCAGTGAACAAATTAAAATATAATGTTGGTGGATTCAGTTAAAAGTAATTTGGTTGCACCCTTGAAACTACGGTACATTAACAAACAGAGCAGATTAGCTGATAGTGTTCAGCACAGTGGCCTTGTGGTGGGGTTCTGGGTTTGAATCTCAACTAAGCCCCCCCTCCCATGGGGAGTTCTGTGCTTGTCTGCCATTAATTTTTCATTCAAATTGTACAGGATGTTTTATTTTGATTTGCTAACTAAATATTATTCAGGAGAGTGATGTAAGGTTTTTTGGGGGGGTTTTGGGCACTCTACCTTTGTTCCCCCCTGAATGGCTACCTCCAACTGCTGAGGCGAACTGCCATCACATCACACACACACACTTGGCCTCATGTTGAATACAATAGAAAGTACCCATGAAAAACGCTCACTTTCTGGTGACTTATTGAAAGTGTTGCAGGTCCACGATGACATGTTCCTGCCCGCCTCGGCTGCAGTGAGGCGGGATGACATGCTGAGTCATCACTGGGTTAGAACAGAGGTTTTGAAACTTTTTTTTTTCTCCAAGGTTCCGGCGACAAGGTGCTCTAAATTATTTCATTAACTAAAAAAGATGCAGCACTAAAAAAACATAACATTTCAAGTCCAAACGTGTACACATGGAGCACAGACCTTTTCATACCACAAGCATTAAGTGGGTATTTGTTAAGGTTCTCATGGGGAATCTAATCTACATGCTGTGAGTGTGCTTTTGGGCCAGGCTTCAAGCCGTAAATTCTTTTCCTGGCCTCACTTCGAACCCCTTCCCCATACGTTTTATTTTTATGCGTCATTTAGTACCCCACGATGCAAAGAAAACAGTCCAATTGGCTCAAAAGTGACATATGAACTTTGCAATTTGTCGGCAGCCGTGCCCAAAATCCATTCGCTTCCCAAAATTCCACCGCTTGTCCTCACTTCACTTTGAAAAATACAGGTGCTTTTTTTGTTGGGTGGTCTAAATTAAGACTGAAATTTATGTTGGATCAAGATGCTTTTAGTTTTTTTTTTTTTTTTTTTTTTTTAAAGTTGTTTATCCCAGCTCTAGCTTGCGCTGGAAAGGATGGATAATATTACGGAGGAAACGTATTGTATTGTAGCAAAAGGAGCCGACTTTGAAAACTGTGCTTCCTTTTTCGATCGCAGACTTGTAATCGAAGCGAATCCGAAACTGTGTATGTGAATACTCATTGTACAAAGATAATGACAGATAGCATACTTAGATATTATTATAAATCACAGGGCCGCCATTCCAGTGTTGGGAATTCTGTGATGCCTTTTGTTTCATATCAGAAATAGACCGGGAGCGTTTCAGGCGGCCTTCAAGGCAGGAAGCGCTAAGCGTGCCAGCTGCAGCGTAGGCCGTCTGAAAGGCAACCCGACTGTAACATATCGCGTGTAGATACACACTGTAAACAACTACTACACTGTACAGAATGGCCCTTTACCGGTGTATAGAGGATTCATTTTTAAATCAGCTTTCAGCCATTTGAAATGGAGAGATGGATTTATGAGATACAAATAAATACGTGACTGACTCCCTTCCCCGCCATGATTGTGCTTTTATTTTCAAGTTGTGAGGGTGGAAACAAGTGATTTCTATGTCCAAAGCCAATCATAAACTATGTTAACACAAATGGAGAGATGGATTTATGAGATACAAATAAATACGTGAATGACTCCCTTCCCCGCCATGATTGTGCTTTTATTTTCAAGTTGTGAGGACGGCACCTCGTGGAAACGAGTGATTTCTATGTCCAAGGCCAATCATAAACTATGTTAACAATTAGGGGACATTCTCAAAAGGTGCCAGGTTCATCTGAACTTCTTTAACAGGTCAGCGGCTTCTTTATGGACCTGAACAGAACGAAATAGAAAAGGCGCATCGGTACAAAGCGCTCCTCATGTGTAACACAGTAACTCCAGATCGTTTAGTACCTCTTTGTCTTCGTGTGTGCGAGGGGGGTAATCTTTAGCTTTGTTCAGCCATAGCAGAGCTTTCTGCTCATCCTTCATGGCCATGTAGGTCTTCCCCAGCATGAGGAGGTTTTTACTGTAGAAGTTTGGATCCACTTGGAAAAGACAACAACAATAAGGGGTAGCAGTGACCTATTGAAAGCCCCCACACACCCCCTTCTGTTATTCCCCTCCTTAAAGTTAGAGCAGAAAAGCATGTTTTACCTTGTTCAGCTTTCAGGAAGAACTGCAAAGCCTTGAATGAAAAGACTTTTTTTTTTAAACTAAACTTGAACGCATGTTAAAAAAAATAATACCAAGTCTTACCTCCTCATATGTGGATGTGGGAGGTGACGCAAAAATAACTGCTGCCACCTTGCGTTGATACCACGGCAGCTCAGAAAAGGTAAAACACCTGAAGAGATTTTTTTTTTTTTTTAAAAGGGAAGTGGAAGAAAAAGTGTCCTACATCAGTCTAAATATTCACTTCCAAAAATGATTCTGCCAAGCAAATATCACTGTGCTTGCAAATTGGCTTACATACATTTATTGCAAATATTTATATGTATACATAGGAAAACAGAAAAAAAACACCAAATACAAATGATAGGTTAAAGTGATATTTGAGCCTTTTATGGAAACAATAACTTATTATCGTGGGGGGAAAAAATACCATATTAAATGATTCAGCTCTGGAAAAAATAAAGAGAACATAAAAGCACTTGGCTTTTTTTGGAGGGGGCGGGGGTAATTTTGACATTTTTTTTTTTTATTTTCCGCAAATACAAATAGTCATTCATATAATGTATTTGGGAGTTTTTTTTCCTCAAACATATATGGCAACACATCAGTCTGTCAAGCGTAGATTTTATCGCTAGAACAGTCTCAACTAATCTCATAATTGACCAATATGATGAAGATAGGAATATGTTTAGCAAACCTAAAAGCACTGTTCACAATTAACTCAAGTCTTTATGGTTTACCAGGGCACAAAAAAGATCTTACGACTCACCAGTAGCCCAAAATGTGCAAGGATGTTGCATCTTTGGGATTGAGCTCGAGGGCTCTCTAGGACGAAATCAACATTCACAAAATTACATTTTATGTCGTCACAGTATGACTACAGTGGGCTAACTCTCACCTCTAGATGTTCTCGGATTGCAAAAGAATTTCCAATTTTAACCTTGACTCCCTCATACTCCCCCACATCGCTCAGGCATATTGCATACCACTGTGGGATTAAAAAAAAAAAAAAGTGTAAATTTGAGACATATGTTGAAATTGCAATGATGTGAATTATATGGAAGTAGATGCTTGTCAAAATAATGGACATCATTCACACAATTACAAAGCACAAATATCTTCTCGAGTTATCCATACGCGTCATTATCTGCAAGGTATAGATAGCGGTTGTGTAGTTTTCATAATGAAGCCACAAAAAAAAAAAAATGCATGACAAACATGCCTGTGTCTTACTTTGTGTGCTGCAAAACACTTGTCATCTTTCTCCAAGGATTTTTTTGCATATTCAAAGGCCTCATACACCAGCTGTTTCTTCCGTGCCTCCTTGGTGTCGGGCAGCTCAGAAACATCACGGGACACTCTTGCCAGCCTCCACAAGAACTCTGCATTATCGCTGGACACACACACACAAAGCGTACTGAGGGGGACAGTGATGGGTACACAAGCTGGTAAGCAGGTCAGATGTGAAATGTGGCTCCTCACCTGTCTTTGTACTCCAGTAGGAGCTGGTAGAGTTTGTGTGTCTCCGCGCAGCTGTAAAGGTAGTCGGCCTGCTCAAGAACCTCCTCTTCTCAGAACACAAAAATACATCAAACCCCAGTTCGGTATCGTCTTTCTTTATGCTGATTCAGATTCCACAATTATTCATTTCATACTGAATTGTGAACTACCTTTTTCCAAAGCGAGGACCACAACTGAATCATGTACCCTGCGATAAGCTCCATATGTCAGACACGAGAGCGTTGGGAGTCCCAGCAGGAATGCAGCCCTTCCACCCTTCACACGATGAAGACAAGGTACATTGACATGAAGACGTTTTGTTCGATGTCCCAAGGCAGTTCCCGAAATGTGCAACATGTGTGGCCGCACGCTGGTCAATATCACAATAGCCTAAAGTACGTTTGGGGCCCGGATTAGAATCACTCATGAACATTTTGCGGAATAAGGAATTTTGAGGTCTCTTAAATGGCCAGACATTTCCATATACACCAATACAATGATAAATCTCTCATTTCCTTCATTTTACACTTTTTTTCCCATTTGATGTTCATGTTGGCATGTAGTGTGCATGGACTTTGTTTTTAGGAAAGCCGTTTTGATCTTTCAAGCGATGTTCATCTTACGGTCCATGTACTATTATGGTGTTTGTCCTCACCATTGGGACAACTACGACTACATACGAGTAGTCCTTACATAGTTTACTTACATACATAGTTAAGAATACCTTGTCACGTGGCGTGTTACTACTGCACGTTTTTTTTTTTATTGTTTTAAATGTATGGCTTTGAACTTTATTAATGAATTAGCATAGGTTTGTTGGACAGAGGTTGAGCTTGATGAATATTATGATTGTTTATTTTGAAAACAAAACATTTTAAACAGGCTTTTTTGTTTGTTTGTTTGTTTGTTTGTTTTTCTGCCTAAATTGTCATACAATTCTGGGATGACTCCTTTTCTACATATACACTCCACGGACACTTCATTAGGACATTTTTTCATTAGGACCTTGCAACTTCAACTACACACTAACACACACACATTCATATGCGCTGTTTGTGCACGCGCGCGCGCGCGCGCGTGTGTGTGTGTGTAAACAAACAAACAAACATATACACTGACAGTTGAATGTTGTTGACTAAGACTAAACTCTGCCATTAGATTATGCAGGTCTCCCTATTTGAGCCGGTGAGCAACAACATAGTAACACACAGCATCAAAGAAAAATATAAAATGCAACCGGCACGGTATTTACTGTGAGAACATTGACGACCCTTCTTGTGGAGGACCAATAAAGCCGATTCGCCGTTCTGATTCGGATGCCTTTTGCCCACGTTGCATATGTGAAGGTCCTGTTGACACACCGCGTCCAAAAGAAGCCAGGCATCATCACATCAGACGTCCAAACCGGGAGTGAGAAAGTTGCTCACCTGTCAGATATTTATTTACCAACGGTCTCTCCCTAAATGAGTGACATTCAAGAACTCTCGGTGGAAACTTTTCAGAACTCAGCATCATTTATATGTTAGCTTTGAGCTATCGGGCCACTCTTAATAAGGAAACGTTTTCCTTTTTTTATTTTTTTAATTTAGTCGTGATTAATTCGCTGTTATTGAGCAAATGATACTCATTACTTATACTGCAGAGGTTCTTTAATTGTAGTGATATATTGTCCAAGTGTATGTAGTTCGTGTGCGTTGACGAAATTAAAATAGATTTTTTTTGTTTATTGTTGTCCTTTTAAATAGAATGTCACAGAAGGCAAGTTGTTGTACAAAGCAAAAGTATTTTTTTAATGGCTCGAATACCGCACACTTTTTCAGATACATTTTGGCGTTCTTGAATGCATCCCGTAAAACGATGTCCATCAATTTAAAGTAGTCGATAAGAAACTTGAGAAAGGCTTTCAATCCGGACCAACCTTTCGTACTTTCTTAACCAACAAGAGACAAACAGTACTGTACTGTATATTATGTGCGTTTATGATGATAAACTACTTCTAATCAACTTTAAATGTCGGTTACATGTCGTGAGTTTTGGTTTACGACGCAATTCTATCGCTATAGCGGCGACGTAACGAATTCGTTCGTAACTACGCCGTACGTCGGAACATCCCTTTGTCTATCAAAACGACGCTCACGCAGTCGTAAAGTTCACGCGGACACGCTGGCTTGTGTTCGTTGCTATGTGAAAGGACAAGCAGGTTCAGCCAAAACAAACAGGTTCGGCATCTGTAATAATAAAGAAAAAGAGATGTGGCAATAAGTGAGAAATAAACTATGGTACCTGCCAAAGAAAACGGAGTGACTCACTGCGGCGACCTGACTGGGCAAACTGAAAATTGCAACAATTTACAGTAAAGAAACCTTGCCATCATGACCAAGTGTTCCCATAAGATGGTACATAGTGTATTGCTGCCGTTATTTTCTCATATATATATATATATATATATATATATACATACACACATTAGCATACACTTTCTTCAGTAACATATACTAACAGACTTTCCACTTGACATCTCATCATAAACAAACACATCCAATAAGCAACGATAGATTTCCATTAAATAACTTGTGTATATTTCCCAAATATTTTTACCATTCTTATCAACACACTTATGTGAAATTTCCCTATCGGCATAAAAAAAAAAAAAAAGACCACCAATATTGTACATTTCTGTATCTTTTGAAAAATGTCCTCCTCTACATTTTCCCAGAATAACAGTCAAGGGACAATCAATTACACACCATGTTTCATGCCAGTTTATCTTTTGAGAGTTCCAGAAGCATTTTCTACAGTAATATGACTGTTGGCACAAACTTTGCTCTTTAGATGTACACCATTTTTATCCATCCATCCATTTTCTAAGCCGCATCGCCTCACAAGGGTTGCGGGCATGCCGGAACCTATCCCAGCTGTCTTCGGGTAGCAGGCGGGGTACACCCTGAACTGGGTGCCAGCCAATCGCAGAAAACCTTTTTTTTTTTTTAAAGTTGCATGTGGAACCATATTTATTTAAGCACAATCTTTGCTCTTAAGATCTATTCCATTTATACGAAAAGTTGTATTTGGACCTCTGTAGCTTTCCATCACTTGTAATATAACAGCGACTAAAAGATGGAGTAGAGCTTGGAGGGCTTATCAGGAAACCCAGCTTAGCCAAGGACGAAGACAAAGGAATGCTCTGGCGCCCTCCTGGCGTGACGGCATCTCTACTGATTGGGAGCCAATCAAAAAATCTAGTCAGTATGTTTTTCTTTTTTTAAATACTATGTTTCAGGTGCTTGGTACTATTGGTACTATTGATAATTGAGTTGGATGACTCAAATTGTATGGTTTATTGCCCATTTTTTCTTGAAAAACTGTATACAGGCACACACACACACACACACTCTTAGAGGTAAGATCGGGCCGCCCGAGCCCAACCCGAACCCGAAGCAATGATTGACATTTTTAGGCCCGATCTTACCTATAGTGTACACACACACACACACACATATATATATGTATATATATATATGTGTATATATATATATATATATATATATATATACACATTACATAACTACGAAAATCGACTGAATTGGCCCTCCGTAGTACGGTACGTACGTTCCCACCTTTCAAATAGCATGACTTCTTTGAACACAGCTGCATGATTAAATAAACGCACAACTTTTGAATGCTTCAGATTTTATTGACACGACAGATGGGCAAGGTGCCTTTTTGTTTTGTGCAGTCCTTGTATGGCTTACATTTTGTTGCAGCCACTGTTTGGTGTGTATTCTAACCCCTCTCACTCGAACCATTTCAAAAACATCCATCAGATTTCACATGTCACTACGAGTGCAAATCTCGAGAAGGAAACACTGGTAAGTCTTACAATATTTAACCTTGACAAACAAATTTGAAATGCACATGACTGGCTGACCTCGACATACAGCTGGGGAAGTGGGTTCAATGCTCAAGACTTACCTTCTTTCCCCGTGCTATTCACATTTGAAAATGTTTGTGCTCAATTTCAGAAGACTTTTCTTTCCCATTCCTGCTCTATCGTGATAACTGCATTCATCTCTGCAGTTTTGAAATCTGGCCACCATTTTTCACAACTCTGTTGAGTCATTCTATATTTTGTTATCCGGGGTCAGTTTTGTTGTACTGGATTCTAAATGTTTCATCCAAACAAATATAATAATTATTACACAAAATTAACTACGCATCAGGTGAATAGGGTTCAAATTCCACACAACAATCTTATGGACATGGACTGCAAATCCAGTTCTTATGATGGCATTTACTTGGTCAATTAAGACCACACTCATTCAGGATTCTCTTTAATTAAAGAGCATTTTTTAATCACCTCAAATCATCATCTTCATCAAACCTGGCAAATGACATCAGAAATGATAAAAAAAAAATATTTGTGACATGGGGAAGAGTACGTACTGTACGTTCCGACATATTAAAGAAAGTCTTGACCGTCCTTTCATGTCTTTGTTTTTTTTTTAAGTCATGGATGGGGAAGGTAAGTGCCCTTTGCGCAGTCCTTGTTTGGCTGACATTGTGTTATCTGACACCTTCAGTCTGACCACTCGAAAACCAGCAGAACTTGTGGAGTTTTATTTGGGCAAGTACCAATACTAAGGGTGTTTAGAAAATCTTTACATATGAAAATCTTTCCATCCTTGAATCGTATATCTCACCCGCCGTATCAGGAATCATCTTTCATCAATTATAAAGAGGTCTGATGTTGCTGATGATTTGGTGTTATATTTGAATTGAATTAACTTGAGAAGAGCTTTTACCTGTCGTTGTTTATTGCAAAATTTGACACAAGCTACCGCTGTACAATATTGATTGGTACTCCCATCAATCAAAAAAATAAATCACCCCCTAACTAGTACCACAATAAAGAGAAATAATGCAAATTTTCACAAACATTCTGTAATCTGCGTACAACTAGAAAAGAAGCATTAGGCGGCGGCATCGCACAATGGGTATGAAAATCTACGGGTTTTTGAGATACAAAAACGTGATTGATGATAAATCCACCTTTTCCATTATATGACAACTACATAGATTAAGAAAAAAAAATCCTAAATCTTGTTGAAATTCACAAATATACATCAAATTGCAAGACCAAAACAGGACAAATGCACTTCATTAGGTACACCAAAATGCAGTGGTTGGAAACCAGTTTCTCATTTTAGAAGGCCATTTTAGTTTTAAGAAAAATATAACCTATATATTTGCCTAATTTATGAGGCAAATTGCATGGTGGACTGACTAATGCTCTGCCAGGTCACTAATGACCCGTAGACCTTGAGGAAACAAAAAAAACATGAACACGTTTTGCAGTTGTGTTTGATTCAATGTCCCGAAAAGGAAATGACCTGGATGGCTGAAATATTCACAGGCGTAGTTTAACAATGCAAAATAGTTTTTATGGATAATCCCTGCTTGCTTCTGACTCAAACGTACTGTATGCATACGTAGTATCAGGACAGACCTCCATCCGTATGTGTTATACCAAGGTTAAAATCGTTTTAGATTTTTATTTGGTTTTTTTTTGTTTGTTTGTTTTGACTTGTTTTTTTTTAATTACCCGGTAAGTTATAGTTTTAGAGCATTGTGGGGTTTTTTTTGTGTTTTTTTTTAAGAAAATGATTAGTTTGTTTTTCAATTTATTTTAGTTAGCTTGTATATAAAGTATCGGTTAGATAATAATGGCGGCACGACAGTCGACAGGTTAGGACACCGGCCTCGCAGTGCAGAGGGCCAAGGTTCGATTCTGATTCCGGCCTTCCTGAGTGGAGTTTGGATATTCTCCCCGTGCCTGCGTGGGTTTTCTCGCACATTCCAAAAACATGCATGGTAGGTTGATTGATCCTAATTGTCCCTAGATGTGATTGTGAGCGCGAATGGTTATTCGTCTGTGTCCCCTGCGATTGGCTGGCAATCAATTCAGGGTGTACCCCGCCTGCTATATGATGAGAGCTGGGATAGGCTCCAGCACCCCCGCGACCGTTGTATGAGCGGAATAGAAAATGGATGGATTGATGGATGGAGAGATGAAAATAAATCAGTGACATGTAATGAAGCAAAGTAAACTACAGTTCCCAAACGATTGTTTGACCTTCATTCTGTGTAGTGCAGAAATAGATGTATTTAAAATAAGCCCCTATTTGCTCATGTTGTGTTAGAATATTGGAACACACCTCAAAATGTATTGCCACATTTAAAGGGTAAGTTTAAAAAAAAAAGTCTTTTCTAAGCACCCCCACTAATCTAAACATGGTATTCGTTAATATTGTGTATGTGGAATATGAATTAAGTATTCTTCTGTTGGAATTGTTATGCGGTTGGCAACGTACTCCAACAATTCATTACTGCCACCAACTCATGTATTTCACTTTCCTAAGAGCAAAAAAATAAGCCAATCAGCAGTCAGCTTCTCCTACCCTCTTGATCGAATTCCCTCCATGACCACCTCCACATTTAGAATATCTTTGATTGACTTTGCACATCGCAACAACCACTCCCTTCATCTGAGCTAATTTACTCCAAACCTGGTTTACTTTTCTTGGCCCCGATTAGAGGGTCTAAATCCCCTTCCCCGCTTTTCGCCTTTGCCTTTCCTATCCCATGCGGCAGTTGTGCAATCGCCACATTTGACGCCATCTTCCTGATCTACCTCTGAGCAGTCATCAGAATAGGTTTCTCTCTGTCAGCGTCTTGGGGCCAACCCCCAAAGAGGAGGCTGTGTATTAAGCAGCAAAATCTACCTGTTTTGATCCATCTCAGGGTACAGCCAGTTTGTACTGTCACTTGCTGTCGGCTGAAAATAACATCAGTGCCTAAATGCTCATCTTGCAAACAGCACATGACCATTTTCAGAAAGGTGAGCCGTCGACGGTCATTACCCGATCTTTTAGGCACTGTGATGTCATTTTCTGTCAATGAGAAAAAATGGCCACCCCGCGATAGGTGGATTTTTCTGCTGAGCTCACTTTCCACAAATTAGAATGCCCTCTTTAGACTATAGTGGGGGTGCGTAGAACACATTGTAAAGAACATTTCCGATTTGACTTCCCCTTTTGACAAGACACGCAATGTCCTGCAGGAGCTGCATGCTTGATGTCCTTGATGAGGGGCATCTTCTATTTGTCACAGATCAACTTGGGTTTGGCCTGGAGCCTTTTCCAGCTGACTTTAATGAGGCAGTGTCATCCACCCAAATCTCACGGGAACTCACCCTCGAACACCAGTTGGCACGCCTCTTCTGGAGATCCTGCGAACCCAAGGTCTTGACAATGATCACGCCGCAAGTAAATGCGCATTAGCAAAAGCGTGAGATCACCACAGCTCTTCGGTTCTGTTGCCGAAGCGTTTCGGTCACTGAACTCGACCAGTTTTAACGATCAGTGATGCCTTCACCAATGGATGTACAAACATGAGAAACTTTTCACGGAAGTGGTGACGACGGAGTCAGGCGAGCCCTTTTCTCAAGCCATCCCAACAAGGAAATACCTGTGAAACATTACAGTGAAATCGAGAAGTTCTTGGCCATACCACTTGTCTATTTGGAAGTCACTTCTGTGCGAATCATTGGCCCTTCCTCGGAGGAGTGAATTTATTCTTCCATGAAAATACAAGAGGAGCAAGTTTTTCACGCTTGCACTTCCCGAAACTCTTGGCTTGCGACTCAAGTCCTCAAGTGAAAGCAATTCATGTTGACCATGGCACCGGAACAGCGGATGAAGAGCGCCAAACCGCATTCCCGTGTGGGATGGAGCCTGAAAAGCTGGAATATCGGGGTATTACCTGCAAGATCAACTCTCCACATGCAAGGTATGCTCTTTGAACATTTGACCCGTATCCTGCATGTACATTTAGCTCGAGCAACACAAAATCAGTTGCTTTTCCTCTTTCTCCTGTGTGTGAATGCACATACAGTGTAATGCAATCGGGGGTGATGAATTAGCTGCATACACATCCGATTCAAATGGTCAACATCGTTATCAGGCTTCTTTCTGCAAAGCTTGCTGATGAGCCGATCATTTGAATCGGGTGTGCTGGAGGAGGGGGACATCAAAATCTGGGGGGTTAGGGGGTCTCTCGTATCTGACTGGGGCACCCCTGAGTTACATGTTAAAAAGGGAGTAAGTAGTAGTACGATATCACTTAACACAATATATTAACACTTTCATTTTCTATCTGGGCGTAACAAAATCACATACCATATAACAATATGCAATACTGTCATATTATAATTAACCCAATAATAACTTGCTTCTGCTTTGTCCTTGTATCAATGACCTATTATGACACAGTCGGACACAATTTGACAACATACCTCAAGCTATAGATTTTTCTTGTGACAATGGCCCAATCATAAAGCAAATATAAATAACACATCATCATACCGAACAATAATCTAGTCATACATACTGTCATGTTACATCTACATTAACCAGGTGGTCCCTCCTCTATGTTGCATCGCTTCTACACTGAAAAACAAAAGTTGGAGTTGCATTACAAAAAGACATAGGTTGATACATCCAAATCATGTGTGTGTGTGTGTGTGTGTGTGTGTGTGTGTGTGTGTGTGTGTGTGTGTGTGTGTGTGTAACTTTTTTTACACGGGGACAGTTTGGCATTTACAAACTGCATTTTGTATTTCCTTGGGTAGTCTCTGTGTGATATTAAAATTGGTTTGATGAACAGAAGTCTTTCTATGAAAGAACACAGAAATCAGGATGGAGGCAAGTATTTCATCTTGGGCACGGGCACGCGCGCGCGCACACACACACACACACACACGAACGAGCGTGCACGCACACTCCTGTTACTCTGTCCATCCTCCCTTTGAAGTATAATTTAATGTCAAACAAAATTTTTTTCAATAAAGGAGTATTCCTATTTTGACACATTCTAACCATGCAATTATCCCCATGACCTTAAAATGTAAGTTCTATGTAACAAAACAAATCTACATCATCTCCACTACATTTTTATTTTACCTTTTCTTACAAACGACTTCGGACCCATCTATTTCATAAATGAACTGTCTTTAAAGAGTTGATGTTATGCCGTTCATACCTGCAGCTCTTGAATCTCATGAAAGATGTGGTTAAGTGGAGCATGTCATTTTCTACTTGTGAATGATGGTCACTGTATTGACAAATATGTAGTTCCTGTTTATCATATTCAACAATCTTTCGTGTTAATATTTGACTAAGTCAGATTTTTGTCGTCATGCACAAGTAAATTGTATTCGTTGTTTTGTTGTACCATACCTGTTTGTGGTTTAGTTGCCATTTAGTGCTAGGGAAAGGTTAATCAGTGAGATTTTTTTTTTGTTTTGCTTTATTTTTTTTTTTTTAACCAAAAGACAAAAATACACGTGTAATTTCCCGTAACACCAGCCCTCGTAGCGGTCTTCATTAGCCACACGCAACAACAAACAACTTTGCATCGATCTGCTTACGTCGTAAGAGAGAGAACGACGCAGCTAACGACATCCTACGTAGAAACAAGCTATAGGATTTCGCATCTAACTGCTTACGCAAAATGTCAATTGAAATGTTGACGTACATGGAGCGCTTGAGACAGCAATTGTCGTCAACTGCGTTTATTTTATTATGAGGATGGGTCGGTGGGCATGGACACGACTTATACTATTATGATGGGAAATTAAATTGGAACGACGTATCCTGATTTATTTTATATAATAATGAATATTTTGACCTTTGAAGTCGCTTTTTACTGGAAAAATGAACTCGTTTGGTCTGTCGTAAACAAACTAATCAACTTTGACACATTTAAATTATTCTGGCCAAAAGACACCAACCTAAATGTAATCATTAAAGCGCTACATTAAAACCATATTAAATAAACACAAGAAAGCTTTTCAAACTATTGCTTAATGCTCTTTTTTTGTTCAAAATCTCCCTGGCTGCGCTTTCTTCTTGTCAACTGTTGGTGGGAAAGTGAAAATCCTAATTATGGCCAGCAGGTGGCAGTGTCAAGGCACGATCTGAGGCGCGCATGCTCAGCAAGTCGATCTTTGATCGGTAGCGATGGAAACAAGACTAAATCAGAATATCTAGGTTATACCTACTATGAAAAATGAAGCATTTGCACCGGTTGGATGGATGGAAGGATGGAGAGATGGCCTACTGTGGTTATTTTTGAAAGCCTGTCATCTTCAGTCTCATTATTTGAGGCCAGCTCAGTCCGTCAGTCACTCAATCCATTATTATTTTATAATGCACTGTCATTAAATTACATTTCATCACCACTATTTTAGGGCGGTCAGTAAAATGCTTCGAAACAGTGTGGACCATATAACACAAAAATATAAATACTATTTCCCCTTCTCGTCTCCACACTCAGCTGAAACCACAAATACTAATTCGCACTGTTTTCTACTCGCACAAGACTCATCAATCCCTGTCCACCTATCTTATCCATAGCTTTGGGTGTCTATCCTCCTTTCCACTGGAAGCAGAAGAAAGTATTGCATATATCTTTCAGATACTCTATGACCATCTTACATGACACAACAAATTGATGGATGAGTACTTTTGAAATCAGAAGCCAAGTACACTGTTGAACCATTTATTCAATTTAAAAGCGGGGAATTGGTGACAAAAAAAATCTTGCTAGATCTCATATCTCAAGTGTTGTTTAATGTGAAGACAATTTGCATGAGCCATGAAGTTGACACAAATGATTTGCCTTCACGGTCCAAATAAAAATGATGGGTCGGATGTGGCTCCGGGGCAACACCTGTCTTCTCCGTATTTTGTCTTTGTCTTGTTTCCATGGATAGCTGATCAAAGATGGCCGACCTGCTGCATATGCACCCACAGATAATGCAGAGGACTCAAGATCGTGCCTTGACAGGCAGCATTGGGTCGCTTTTGCCTGAGATCACCATCTATTAAAGGATTGTGGAGGCTCATGAATTTGGCGAATCTTTCCAAATTCGACCGGTACAAGCAACTTGTGATTGAACAAAGTGTCACATTAACTCTATTGGTGTCACAAATGAGGGAGATGACAGTTTATTAAGTGATGACGTACCACATGCTCACACACACTACTAAATATTACTACTAAATAGAATGCAAATATTTAGCAGCTTGTAAAAACTTCATCTAGCAACTTTATCAAAAGAATTTTTTTTTGTTGGTGGTGGTTTTATAGAAGAGAACTGTTCAGAGGTTTGAGGAGTCACTAAAGCAAAAAACAAAATAGTTGTTTACATAGGCATTAAGGAAAGGATAAATCAGAATGCTTCAAATTTCTCTAGCAGTAATAGCTTCTCTTCTTGTAAAAATGGCAGGCATTCAAAGAGTTACATTCAACAGCTGATGACAGTGACCTGAGAATGCCGGTGCCAATTGCAACTTTGCAGCAAACATTATTCTGTGGTAGCATGTGTGAAAATGATTAGCTTGTTTGCATCAAGGCTGCTCCATTTCAGCGTCTGGATTCTCCTTCGCGTGCTCAAACTATACAAATTGCAGAGGTTGTCATCAGCCAAGTGTTCAAGAAGAAGAAAATCATTATTTGTCTCACAATGGAGAAAATCACAATTTACAGCAGCAAAATTTTGAGTTGAATACCTAATATGGAACAACAAATATATTTTGTACAAAAACAAATCCCGGTATGAAAATAAATCCCTTTGTTTCCTTAGAAAAATAGGCGCTTGTAGTAAGGCATTTATTTGACAGCAACGGAATACATCTTACTCAGAATTCTTTCATGCTTAGAAATTTCCAATTGCGCCAATACAATATGACATTCTATTTGATGCAATAACTGCAGAAATTAAAATACTCTAAAAAATAAGTTCATGCGTTTACCCTATCCTGTTTCCCTCCCATGTATTTTAGAGATGGAGATTGGTAATGTTTGACTCAACATCAAATTTGGAACAAGGTCTGTGCTGTTTCAGAAAAATGCTCTCTCCTTTCATTCCATATTTTGTGTCACTTTTTTAGATTTTTTTTTTAAATCAAAGTATGTTAATGAAGATGCCGTTTTCATAACTACTTAACACCCAGGGCTATATATTTTTTAGTCGAGAATGGCAATCAGAAACCTACCTGTACATACTTTCACATTGATACGGTCTCCTTTTATGAGACTTGTGACTAACAAAAAGTCCTTTTTTGCTGTCCCGTTTGTTCCCTAGACATATTTTATATATGTCATGTTTCTATTATGTTAATTTCATGTGTTTTTTGTTTTTTTTTTTGGCTACAATAAATATTAATTGCTTAGTTTACGCTTTGTTCTACTGCGGCCGCCGAGCTTCTGGTTTGAAATGTGGACCGGACGACCGATGCCGATGGTATGGATTCGCACGCATGCGCACAAGGTACGTAGAAGTCGACATCGCGGCGTACGTGATCACCTTTCCGGCGGTACGTGCCGATACCAAGCGATAGCCGCTGAACGTGACCGACGTCGGGTTAGTGCATAGAGGCCTGTAAAACGTCGCCGACGACAACCAGCACCATAAACATGCTGAAAGCTTGCTTACGTCCAACATAGCAGCGACGTAATTGACGGCTTGCTGCGCGACAGTTACGTAACGACGTAATCAGTTTCGTAACTGACGGGTGCATTCTTTATCCACTGCGAAAAACGATTAATTGAAAGGTGAAAAACCTATGCAATCCCTGTTATAAGTCATAATGCACATATGTAGATGATAAAATGAAGTTTATTGCACGTTGCTCTTGAGAAATCTGAGGTTGTTCTTGTTTGTAAAAAGATAGTTCATTCAATATAAATATGTTCTCAATGTACTTGCATTGCCTTTCATTGATACAGTGCAACATAGATTTCACATTTACACTTGACATCCAAATTAGGCTGTATGATGCCCCTGAATTATTTTGAATTTTGACATCCATGCTCTAAATTGACCATACTGTGGGTGTGAATGTAAGTGTGAATGGTCAGCCGGCATCGGCGCCAGCTCACCAGCAACCTCTGAAGACAAGCTATGCAGAAAATTGTGGATGGGTAATAAATGGGTTTTGCATGACAAAATGGGGCGAGTGATCAGGTTTGAAGAGGTGAGTCTTTGTTTGGATTGAAATGTGTAAGTAGTGGCTTTCTGATGTCCTCTGGGAGGGGGTTTCATTGGGTTTGTGCAGGACATGGGTTTTGAGGAGGGATGGCGGAGCAGGCGAGGTTATCGTACTGCTTTTTAGGTGATGAGCAGGAGTGGATAACGCTGTGTATGTTTGATATTTTGGTCAAACGTTCGAGGGAGATGGGGGACGGCAGCACATAGGTGGTGCGGGAGATGTCCCGGGTCGAGGAGAGGACTTTGGATTTATTGCAGTTTGGTTTGTGGAAGTGTGTGATCATCCAGGTTTTAATGCAGTTTGGTTGGTGGAAGTGTGTGATCATCCAGGTTTTAACATGAAAAGGCAATTTTAGACGATAGTTTGGAGGAGTAGTGCCGAGTGAGATGCCTGGTTTGGTGGGGATGGAATATTGAGGCGGCACGGTGGTAGATGATATGTCCAAGATGCAAGGTGTACAGAATGAACAGGTTACCGGTTTAGCACGGGTTTTTAAAATAATTGATATGAACGATTGTGGTTTCCTGCGGGTAAAAGTTCAATGGCATGGCAATTGGAACAGTCTTTGGAGGCTTTGACAGATGTAATTGCTCTAAGTTGTTTGCGGTGTCCTTGAAATGTCACTACTACATCATGCTGACAAGGATTCATCACTACTGTCAGACATGATGTTACATAATCCATATCCATCCATCTTCGATACAAGCTGTGGAACGAATGGCTAACGGCTCCATAAAATTATGCAAAATACAGAAAAACAAAAATGATCCTTTTTTGCAGAATTAAATCTTGCATGACCGCCACAGTCTTTTTTCTAATTGATAAATGACAAGCGCTTCGGATCAAGATCTGTATTTCTCACTGAAACTGGATCAAAATGCACCCGATCAGGCCAGAATGCCATCCGAGGCCGATGCTGCCCACTTTCCCCGTGGGGCCTCGTTTTTCCCAGCCAGCTACAATGATGACGGGCCCGAACATGTACAATGTACCGCAGCAGATCAGACCGCCGGTGCACCTTAATAGTCATGCCGGTTTCCATAATCACAGTCAGGTAAGTCGTACAACGTCTTCCCAAATATCATCTAGGGGACGAGCATTATTACCTCATAAGTAATGGTTTTCTCGGAAAAAAACATTTTTGGATTGAAAGCGACTTGTTACCAGAAGACAAATACATGTGGCATTGAGAATAGTCTAGATGAAAGATTTCCCCCTTTTTCAATTCTACTTTGTTTTTATCGTGGCTTTTATTTTTGTGAACGTTTAGGCTGCAATAGTTCCAGCTTCGGTTTCCTTGTGCACAAACTGATCGGTCGTCTCCGCATGCATGGGCAGGTTTCTCTTCTCGCAAGAAACAACCTCGGTTACATTTCAGATCTAAGATTGCTGAGATTCGTGTGTATAGCCACCGAGATCGAACAGGGAATGTGTAATAATTTTACTTTACTTTTGAACAGCAGCAACTGCCGCATCAATGGCCTGTTCAAAACGTCCTCGGTCCGCATCCTCAACAAATGGTATGAGACCAACTTTGTATTTCTGATTGAGTGACTTGATGGAGAATTTGTTAGGTCATGGTGAAAGCGTATAATTTCCTGTCCATTTTTGGACAGGAAGTGCATAGTGTTTCAGTATGTTATAATCACCCGAATCTTCATTTTTCATCTCTTTATTATTTTTTTTTGCACTGCGTGCTTGAAAACAGTTGAGTGAATCAGTTAAATTCAAAATCTCCCGTTTCAGATAAGGGCGCCATCAGGCATGATGATGACGCCCGGGGCCCCGCAGATGGTACCTGTTGGTTTTATGTGAGTGAAACCCTTACAAAGGACTACTGAAATTAAAACCTGATTCACGTCATCACAGTCTTTCTATTCCCGTCGACGCAGGAATGGAGAAATTTTGTTTGAGCAGGTGCATCCTTTAATGTCTGCAGCTCCTCCGCAAAACCTCTTCACAACTATGTAAGCTTTGTTTGCACAAACATTTCCATACTGGCTCATGAACTGTCGATGTGTTTTTATTTGTGTGTGTGGGTGTGTGTGTGTGTGTTTAGTGGATATAAAAATGGCTACTCACCCCTAAATGCCACATTTTTGTGCCATCAAAATTGAGACCAATTTAAATGATTTCAAAATGTTTCCCCACAATGAATGTAACATCTAGCACTAAAAAGAATAAAAAGAAACCGCAACTTCATGTAATTGCATAAATGTGCACGCCCCTTTTGAGACTTTGAGATTGGTACCACGCTTCATTTGACTCCGACAACGTTCCCTAAAAGACACCCGTTTTGTGCCCTTAATTTCAGTAACACAAGGAAGACTGAGCATGTGCGGGAGCGACCCTACATCAAGAAGCCGCCGAATGCCTTTATGTTGTTTGCAAACAAGTACAGAGAAGTAGTCACCATGCAACTGGAAAAGAGAGACAGTGCATCTGTTCATGTGGCCCTCGGAAAAATGGTAGGTTATGACCTGTTGGAGGAACGCTCAGGAAACGTACGGCACTCAGTCAAATGTCACGTCCAAGTCCCCTCCAAAAGTATTGGACCGGCACGGTCAATTCATTAGTTTTTGTTGTATCTTGAAGACCTGCGGGCTTCAGATCAAAAGACGAAAATGAGTCCGGCTTTTTATTTTCAGCAAAAGTATTGACATGGACATGATTAAATTGACTAACACTTAATATTTGGTGGAATAACCCTCACTTGCAAGAACTGCATAGCGCCTGCGACCCAGTGACTTGGGCCTTGTGGCAGGCTTTGGTTGAAATGCTTTTCAAGGCCTTCACTGCAGCTTCTTTCCCTTCTGATTGAGTCCTTTGTTGTGTTGGCAATGTCTTTTGGGTCTTTGTCCTGTTGCATGACGAAGCTTCTTCCGATGAGTTTGAAAGCGTTTTTTTTTTTGGAAATTGCCTGGCAAAATGGTTTTGTAGACACCAGAATTCATTCTGCTGCTACTGTCATGAGCTCCATTGTCAATATACAGTATGGTGAACCCGTTTTGGAAGCAGCCATGCCTTACAGTACCCCCACCGCGCTTCACAGATAAGCTTGTGTGTGTTTTGAATCATAAGCACATCCTTTCTTCCTTCATACTTTGGACATTTTATCACTTTGGTAAAATCATAGGTCCATCCTATTTTGTTTAAAAAGGTGAGTGGCTGGATCTCTTGACTGATATCTGCAAAATCCAATCTGGCCTCCCGATTCATTTTGCCGGATGAGTGGTTTTCATCTTGTGGAATGGACTTGATGTTTCTTCTCTGACCTGTTTGATGTCTGTTGCTCAGTACAGCAGTATTTTTATTTAGTTATTTTTTTCGGGGCATTCCAAATTGTTGTATGGGCTCTGCCTACTGTTTGTGCAATAGCTCACTTTGATTTTCTGGTTGCCCCACCCCCGTAGACACCGCTCTGGTCTTCATCGCTGAACAACAGATGCAATTTTCACAGGTGAAAACCAAAAATGTGAATTGCATTAAATGACATTTATTTCCTATCCTACTTTTGACCTGAAACCCAAATGTCTTCGCTACACAACAAAAACAAAACTTTTGGAGGGGACTGTACATAACACTGACGGTTCTTCTAAAGACACTTGTCAAGGAGCATCTTTAGAACTGGACTCATTGGACCTTCAACAGACTCATCAAATGGCAGAACCAAGTACTTGATGAGTGTCTGACACCCCACACGCAACATGCATTATGCCCATATTGAGTACAATCAGTACATCAGTTAGTTGTGGAGGTCTTGTGTACAATGGAAAGATTCTAGGAAGTCCCAAGTAGACATAAACTCTGGAACCAGTCTGGTCGGTGCTGGTTCTCCCAAGCATTTTACACAACCTAACAAGTACCATCTTAAAGAAAAAAAAAAAAACAAACTCACTACCACTAACGACAAATATTAACATACAGTAGTGTATATTCTTAAAGTATATAGGTTTTTTTAGGCAATAAAAAAGTCTAAAGCACTGTATCATGCACTGTGTTTACGTTTAATGCAGTGATTCTTTTTACACACCACTAGAGGGAGCCAACATCACCGGTGGTACTGCTACCACATTTTGAGAATCACTGTTGTAGGGCAAAGAACGTGTTTTGCTGAGCAAGATTGTTCCATGAGTTCTGTCATTTCGGATTTTCTCTGAGGTCATGACCGAGTGCGCTTTATGGTTTTGTCGAGGGAATCGCTTAAGCAGCGGTGAGAACGGAAACGGCAGGGACTGCGTTACGCTGGGGAGATGGAGGCAGACGGTCGTGCGGGATGCAGTGGTCGTTTCGGCGCGATTACGTCCGACGGTATAATCCTGTGTTTTGAAAGCAACAGTTTGTTGATAGCTCATGCTCGTCCTGGTTCCTTTGTCCAAGCTAAAACAGCGCTAAGAGGACGAGAGCGAGCCAAGCAGTTGCTGACAGTGGCTACTGCCGGAGCCCCGTGATCACGGAGCCCCGCTTGGAGACAGTGAGGAAAAAAATGATTTCAACTATGTAAAATTGGTTTTTAATTGGAGTGGGGGAGACGCAGAGCTCAATCCGCATTGTGTGGTTTGTGACTGGATTAAGTAATTACATGTCAACATCATCATCAATCCTTTTTCGAGCCATATTTACCTTCAACTACTTTGACTTTACTTCTGCTCATTTGCAAAATGTCTATTATGACACATCACTGAATTTGTGTGCATTCCAGTCTTTTGTAAATATGTGCTGATTTGGTATTTAGCCCGAGCAGACGTCCTTTTTGAACATGTTTGTGTTTTTTGTTTGTGTTTTTTGTGCGTTCACAGTGGAAGTTGCTACCACAGGCGGACAGGGACAAATACTACGAAGAAGCAGATGCGCAGAAACGGCGGCACGCTCAGCTTTATCCTCGTTGGTCCACCTGTGAAAACTATGTTAGTTGCACATGAGCGTCTGCGACTCGCATGATGATGACGGGAATGGAAATGTTTGCTTTGATTGTGGGATATGCTGAAGGGGGTGTTTTCTTTTTTTTTCAGGGGAAACGCAGGAAGCGGCGAAAGAGTAAAGTACAAACTGGTGTTTCAAGTACGTCACCACACATCACCACAAACTAGCCCGCCACATTGTTAGAGTAAAACCGCATTTCCTTGGGCAGAATTTTGACAACATGGCAGCCATTCTTGTTTGATGCAGTGTTGCTGTAGTTTGAGCAAGTGGAAAAGATAGTTCTCCTCTTGATCTCTTTGCAGAGGATACACCAGATCCTGAAGTTGCACATACCAATAGCATGTGCCTTTCTACAGTCCAAAAGGACATCATGGCATGTGATGAATTGGACTCCTCTTCCGAAACAATGCATTACAACTCGCAGCCCCCTTCCGCCCTCGATTCAGAAGAGTCTGTGGAAGCACTGATTGAAGAAAAGAAATTCATGCAGATGCCGTGTGGCAAAAATGAACTTTCAATTGCTCCCGATGGGCAACCTCAAGGAGAAACTCTTGAGAACGACCATGCACTGAATCTCCTGGATTGCATGCTTCTTTCCCCTGCTTCTCAGATTGAGCTTCAGAGTGTCGAAGATGGGTTCCAGTTGTTACTGGAGCATTTTGAGCCTCAGGGCCTGCCGTTGCTTACCGAGGCTGAGGAGTATACCAAGCCCCTGAGCATAGGGGAATCGCAGCAGCTCATCATCAAGGTGTTCGAAGGTCCTGCGCTGACGGGAAACATAAAGGTAGAGACCCAGGTGGACCTGGCTGTGCAGGGTCACACAGTAACAGCCGGCCCCTCGAAGCCTCTCAACAAACCCATCCAATTAGCACTGGAGCATCTTGACGCAAAGGAAGAGATACAACCACGCCTCATCGCACACTGTCAGACGTTGGTGGCAGAGACCATAAAACAGGAGGCGCTCAATCAGGTACCGCTGCGACTTCTTGAGGCACCTTCCTCCGTCGCACTCGGTGTTAAGGAAAAGACCCAAATGACGACGTCCGTGCAGAGTCAGAAAACAAAACAAGTATTCAATCCCCTCACTGTTCATCATCACAAATCAGAGTCCTCCAGACTACTGAGTCAAGACACGGAGATCCAAGCGCCATTGGTGGACTTTGAGACTTCCGTTAGGAGTCAGAGTCAGAAATTAGGGTCCATCCAGTCGCTAAGTAAGGAAAAGCTCTCTGGACCACTGCCTCATGTTGAGACCCTGTCCGCTGCATCACATTCAAGAGGTGGTGACCTCCTCCAGTGTCTCAGTTTTGGTGATGAGCTACAATTCTAGTTTAGTGGTGTCCTCCAGATGGTGGATTCTAAACATCTGTCCTGTTTTCTTTTGTGATGAGACATCAAGAAGCTCCTTTTTTTGGGGAGGGGGGCGGTCTTTTCCAGTTAAACCTCTCTTCCAATATCTGTATCAACACAATCCACAGATTAAGCACAAGCAGGTCTGCATACCGGTATTCCTTTTAAAATGACATTTTAGAAGTTTTTTTCATGGACACCAGCCGAGGCAGCGTGTTGGTTGTGCCAAAGTGAGATGTACTTAACAGCTTAAGAATCATTGGCTCGGGGGTGAAAATAAATATCAGTATTGCGACGTATTATGGATATACCTTCCTGTACAGTATACAATATGCCAGTATCAATTCTATAGTGATACTGTCACCTTCCGATATAAACCCATTTTTAATATGTGAGACGACACATGAATGTCTAATCGACACAATTTGCTACTTGGAATTTGCCATATTTTGAGCGCAAAGCTACTTTTTTGAATAAAGCAAGTTAAAATACATTGGGATAAGTAACGTCATGTATTGCGCGACGAAAAGGCCGGTTTTTGCTGAGATTAATTTTCATGTCAAAATCGAGCATCTAACTCTGGATTAGTTTGATTTCTATGTAAATTGCTTCATGTTCCTCATGTATACTTCTGCTTGGAATTCATGTAACCGTTTTAAAGCTTCTTGGAATTCATGTAACCGTTTTAAAGCATATACATATGGTGATACATTATTACGGTAATATAATGACAAATATGTATTTTTGTATCAAATTATCTAATGTGTGCTTATTGTGCAAACTGATGGGACAAAATATCCACCCCAGGGATGGCTCCAGGATTTATTTTTTCCCTCTCGGGGCTGAAAGAGGGCTGAGAAAATAATTTAGAAATATATTTTAGAATATCAAATAAAGTGCTGGTGGGTCTGAACTGGGCTGAACAGATTTCTATAAAGCCTTAGCCCCGGTATAGTGCCACCCCTGATCCATCAGGGTCAACAAACACCTGAACCGCAAAACAGTTTCTTCCCTTCTAATGGACTTCTCTATATTTCATAAATTGTCTGTATGCAGTTTATTTGACCTGCTGTAATGTAACAATGAAAATGGATTTACTAGTAGAATCAACTTGTATGTTTTGCTATTTTTTGAGTTTATATTTGACCAGTTTTCTGTAAATATTTGTCTTGGTATACTATGTATATACTGTACACTCATTTATGTAACTCTGAAGATGAACGGACAGGTGGAATCAACCCTGATGAAATAAAAGTAATTCTGAGATGACATTGTGAGCCCACTACATGCTCCTTTTGAGTGACTAAAGTGACAAATACTTCAGGCCCTTGTTTCCATGATGCTATTATTTTGTTAATTTCCAAAATATCATATATCAAGGTTTTGTGAGTCCTTTGTGAAAAATGCCAGATCAATGAAATTATCTAATTATCCTTACAACTTACTGACGTCAGTGTTGGCAAATTAAAACACGCACGGACTTTATATTAGCTCCTGAACGCACCACAAAGAGTCGGTGCGCTCCCGAAATGCAACCGATATGAAACAAGCCACTATTTTTCCCGTTATTTTTTTTCTCTTCATGATGAATATTTTGTACATGTAAGTTTCTGTGGCACTGCAGAACTCAACTTGAATTAACAAGAGTACACCAGTCAACACGACATAATTTTACTCTTTTTAATGAGATGATAAAACGTCCACAGAGACTGGTGACGAGTGCTGCCCACTGGTTGCTTTCTGAGCGTGTCAGATGCAGCCCACACACGTTCTATGTCTCGTAAGTATTACCAACGGTAACAAACGAGGATATTTCAAGAACAACCAGACAAGTAATTTTAAATAAGTAAGTACATAATAGTTGAACTTGTAAGCTGTGTTTAATGTCCCCAGTGGGGGCTTGACAGCTGTATCGAGACATGGCCACACCCACTCAGCTGTCGTCGACTCGTTGAAGCGTGTTTTGAAGCTGCCATGCCATTATATGAATTTGTGTGGGGAATCATGATACTGCAACCTCCCAATGTATATACAGTATGACGGTAAAATCGAGCTTGCAGTCCCAGCAGGCACAGCCGAGCGTCACGGTTTTTTTGAGACCCCCTAGTGGCCACCGGGTCAATGTAGTGCAGCGGTTGCATTTGTTTGTTGTTTTTTTTTTTTTTCCAAATGCCAATCTCCATCGCTTACTTAATGTGTGTTGCATTCCTGAGGTCATCAACCAGTTGCCATGGCTTCGGGTGGGGTCCCGATTGGTGGGGTTCCGACTGGGACCTCCTACTGGCCCAGCAGGGTGGAGCTGACCATCTCCTGCGAGAACCTCATGGACATGGATGTCTTCTCAAAGTCTGATCCCTTGTGTGCCTTGTATATTAACTCCTCAGACTCACGTTGGCACGAGGTCTGCACAGTACTCTCGCCACCTGTTGATGACATTCTGTGAAGTTCTATATATTTTTGCGAGCATGATGTTTGATTTTGTGCATAGAGTATGCACCATGGATGCAATTAATTCCTTGTAACACATCAGATGAGTTTTTTTTCACGTTTGCTTTTCCTGGTGCATCAGTTAGGGCGCACTGAGATGATCCTGAACTGCTTGAATCCAAGGTTCGCAAAGAAGTTTGTCATCGACTATTATTTCGAGACAGTGCAGAGGGTCAAGTTTTGCGTGTATGACATAGACAACGACACCTACGACCTGGAAGATGATGATTTTCTCGGGGAGCTCGAATGCACTCTTGGCCAGGTAAGCTTCATCTCGTCAATTCAAGACGATCGTGTCATTCTTCCGACCTTTTCCCTAATTATGCGGTGCTACTCGTCATGTGCCCAGATTGTTTCTAACAAGCAGATGACTCGACCGTTAATGTTGAAGGATGGGAGGCTTGCAGGTCGTGGTACTATCACGGTAAGTATCGAACAGCGATTGACTCCAGTGGATTGCACTGCTCAGCTGTGATCAATAGAGGTGCCGTTGATTCGGTCTCAACTGGTTTGCTCACTCTCGAACAACCTTATGACGTCAGCTATGGAAACTTAAATCTTTCATGATTATAATAGTTAACCGGCATACCACAGGTAGAAATATTAAGGAAATGATGTACAGAATACACATTTTGCAGAGGATTACGACCGTGTTCTAATGATAAAAGGCGCTTATAAATCAAATTTATTATTATTATTAAAAAATGGTTGATTTATTTTTTTTCTTTTTCTAGATCTCCGCTGAGGAAATATCAGACACCAGGGTAGCAAACTTTGAGGTGTCCGCATGCAGGCTTGATAAAAAGGTAGCAAGGATCATAACACGCAAATACTCTCTGCGGTTGCCATAAAGTGACTGAGACTTTTTCTCTGATCTGGGTTCTCAGTTTTTTTGGTGGTCAGACCCCTTTCTGGAATTCTACAAGCAGACAGGCACTGGATGGCAGCTGGCTCACAGGACAGAGGTACCCATGCCTCGACGACTTCCCCACTTGTCTTCCTTTGAAACATTACACCCGCTTTGGATTTGTTTGATGTAGGTGATAAATAACAACCTCAACCCTACGTGGAGACCCTTCCGCATCTCTTTGCGATCTCTCTGTGGAGGAAATGCCGAAACAACTATAAAGGTGAAATATTTGGCTTCATTTCGAATTGCCGTGTCCCTTTCTTGCACCCACTACCCCAGAGCAATGCTGAGATGGATGAATATTTTGCTGCCATTTGAAATGTCATGCTAATTCAACCTACTAATGACACTAATATCTCCTGATTGCATTTTCTCTTCATCTTACAATGCTCCAACACTTAACGCCAGAGGGTACTTGCAGCCCAGCTGGATGAGCGATGTGTGTGTGTTTGCACAGTTCATGGCATCATCACATAAAGGTCTGCCTTTTTGATTTTTTTTCCCCCCCTCCTCACTTTGTTTGTATTGCACTTACTGAGTTTGTGTTTGACCAGATTAGGTTTAATTTACTAAAATCCGCGCCGTTGGCATTGTGCGTCGTCGACTAATACTGTGAGAGTTTACTAAAATGCTAAATAGCAGGTGCTAAACTGCTCCAAAATTGCATTACTTAATAGATGGTATCTTGTGGTTTTGTCTTTAAAAAAAAAAAAAAACATTTTGCATGACAAAAACTCTTGTGACATTTTTCTAACGACTGCATCTCAAGAAATGTGTTTTTGTGCTCAGGTTGACTGTTATGACCATCATGTTAGTGGCTCCCACAGGCTCATTGGAAGTTTTAAAACCACCCTTGCCGAGATGCAAACCGCAACGCACGTCTCCCCTGTAAGCACATTTTAGCTCCCATCAAGTCGTCGTGGTGTTCCGTGACTTGTTTTTGCATTATCGTCTTCGTTTGATAATATGACTCATGACCTCTCACGACAGGTTGAGTTCGGTTGCATTAACCCAAAGAAGCTAAAGAAGAAAGACTATCAAAACTCTGGGGTCATTTACATAAAGCGCTGTCAGGTAATTGATTCGCTGAACCCTTCTTCACGACGTCGACTGCATTATCGTGCAAAGGTTTATGTTCTTATGTTAACCTGGCCCAGGTGGAGAAAGAATACACCTTCCTGGATTATATCATGGGAGGTTGCCAACTGAACTTCACCGTGAGCTCATACGTTTACTTCCCCCCCCTCCAAACAATTTTTACCAGTGTGTTTCGATTCCATTATGTTATTTTAAAAAATATATTTTATGGAGAGATATTTTGGGCAAGTCAAATTTTTCACACTACAACCTCTTCCAGCCACGCATTTGTGGACTTTGCTTTGTGCGCTGAGGCACAATGCTGCTGCAACACAAAAATTGCAATTTGAGGCTAACTGAATGATTATTTGACTGATAAAGAGGTGTGCAGTATAGTGTACACAACAGCAAGGCAAATCTCTCACTTTGCAAATACTTTTGTCTGAACTCCTCCTTTTTTTTCTGTATGAACTTGGGCCAGATTGCCATTGATTTCACTGGTTCGAATGGTGATCCCAATTTACCCACTTCCCTCCACTATATCAACCCCGAGGGCTATAATGAATACCTGTCTGCAATCTGGGCAGTGGGCAATGTGATCCAGGACTATGACAGGTACAATCCCAGCTCTGTTCTATCCCGGATTCTCAACACGAGAATCCAAGTGAGTGTTAACACCTGTATGCATTTCTCTTTAGTCACAAGAAGTTCCCAGTTTTTGGGTTTGGAGCCCAGATCCCTTCAGCGTGGAAGGTATATATGGAGGCGGACAAAAATCATCCAGGAAGACATGTTGATTGATCCAGTTCTCAGTTCTGCATACAGCACAAACACCACATGAATTTCATGAGATATTCAAACTGGATCTCAAATTTGAGTATTGACAGATGCATGGTGTGACTTTTCTGTTAGCGGGCGTATGAGTTGGACGCCCCAGCGGCAACCTCACAGCAGTTTATAGCTCTGGTTGCATTTGAACTTATGCCTGCAGTGATAGTGACACAATTTGATGTTGGTTCTCCGAGGGAATACTTTCAATTTTGTTTTGCCAATGCACGCAGGTTTCCCATGAGTTCCCGGTCAATTTTAATCCATCAAATCCATACTGCGATGGTAAGTTCTCACGCGACAAAAACATGTTGGGTATTATGGGAATTCCTCTCCCTCGGTGCTGCTCTTAAAGCAGAATTTTTGTGATTGCAGGCATTGAGGGTGTGGTGCGTGCGTATCAGCAGTGTCTGCCCCAATTGAAGCTTTGGGGCCCAACCAACTTCTCCCCAATTATCAACCATGTCGCCCGTTTTGCCAGACAAGGTCTTTACCAGAATAAAGCTGCAGTAAGTAGCTCATTGACACGTTTGGTCCAAGTGTGTGCTTGTCCTTGATCATTTTAGCGACAATGTTTAATCACCGGAAGTCTACTCAACGTTTTCCCTCTTCTTCACTTGCAGCAATACTTTGTGCTTCTCATCATCACGGACGGCGTGATCACAGACATGGATTTGACGCGCACGGCAATCGTCGAGGCTTCTCGCCTGCCCATGTCCATCATCATAGTGGGTGTCGGAGGCGCAGACTTCCGCGAAATGGAGTTCCTTGACAGCGATGACAAACCGCTGCTTTCACCCAGTGGGGAAGCCGCTGCACGGGACATAGTCCAGTTTGTGCCTTTCAGAAGTTTCTGCGTGAGTAGCAAGCCACACATAACGTTCACCATCATCATACAAATTTTTTTTCTAGTTATGTACACAGTTGCTTATGTTAACAGTTGCTTCCGGAAAAAAAGAAACCCCAAAACCTTTTCTTCCAAGTAAACAAACTCTTTCTGAATAGTATCCCATAAGGGATTTGTGTTAGACCTTTGGGGTTTCATTGCATTTGGGGTGTGCTTCTTCTGCATAACCCACATGACACTCATAGTCCTTAAAGAGTGTAAAGAAAGACCATTCAATGTTTCTATTAATTCTCTTATTTGTCATTGCAGGGAAACAGTGTGGCACTTACACACAGTGTCCTAGCAGAACTGCCTGAACAAGTGTCGTCCTTCTTCAATTCTTACAAGTTGAAACCTCCGAACATAAACAGTGAATAAAAGTGATCTGAGATGCAGTATGTTGCTTAAAATGAATCCCGAATGCCTTGTATTTATTATTCATCTAGATCTCTTTTAACCTTTTTTCCATTTTAGCCAATTGTCACTACTTTTTTTTTTTAATGCACAACAAATTCTTTTACCCCCAAATTCTCACCGTTACTGTTGCATGTGAAGTATCCAACCCACATGTGTTTATAGTTATGGGACTTGTCACGAGCAAACAATATTATCTTGTCACGTGAATAAAATCTTAACAATGTGTGTGTGTTTTTTTTTATATTAAAATCTGACAGAATCAATCATCTTGGAATTTTTTTGCACGGGTTATTGGTCAAGTTAGTGGTGGAAAATCTTTTGAAAAAAATTCTTGGTCAGATTTTTCTCGAAAATAAACCTGGCATTTGTGCTGATTTTTTAATATGAGCTGTGACAGACCACACAGTACAGGGGAAAGCGACGGAAGAGTGAACTTAAAACGACTGTCATCTTTTTAACGACATACGCGGGCGTTGCAATGTAACAATATGACTGGATTTATGACTTGCATAAACCAAGGAAAGACTTGACTCGCCAGATTTTCTACCCGCAGTAACACGTTCAAAACCTGAAGTTACTTATTACTTAAAAAAACTTCAGTATTTCCTCGTGGGTTTGCTTATGAGGAGTAAAACGGGTGAGCCGGTGAAGAAAACGAACGCACAGGGCACCGCCCACGACACACCAGCAATAGCAGCTGGACCCTTCTCCACACCAGCCTTCCCTTCAGTGCTGCACTGCGACGTGAGTTACAGGCGAAAACAAACTTATTGTTCCGTAAAATATATTTTGTCCAGGCCTTACCGTGCCATACTGTATTGAAATTGTATCGGTTTAACATTCCTGCCAAAGTTTAAGCGGGGCTGTCGAGAATGGGTTCGCTTCAAATTCCTGGATTTTTTTTTTCATTTTTTAATTTTGCTTGCCTAAAACCGCACCCAGTTTGAATACTGCTTCTACTTAAGTTTGACACATCCATACACAGAGTTTGACATTTGAGCTCAGTCCGTTTCGAGTACATCCAGCATATTGTTCGTTGGATTAAAGCATTGAGTTTTATGTCAACTGCTCTTTTCGAGTTCAGTACTTGGTTAAAGCGTCAGCCGAATTCCCTTAACGGTATTATTATCCAAACTATCCCCATGCTTTGCCTTCGTATAACTTTACAATCTTGAATGCGGTTAAGCGTGTTATTTGCTGCAGGCTACTACAGTGACATAACACAAAACATGAATTTACAATCTCGCGAACAGCGTATACAGTACGCCCAGGCACGAACGAGCAGTTTTGTGTGTCAGTCATTAACTCGTGTTATTATTGTGTTGTTTCTAAGTGTCTCTGTCAGGTCTTGCGTATGTCAATCCTTTAGCTGGGATGGCAGCAGTTGGAACTCCCCGTCCTGGGGTCCCCGACTGTGTGACCAGGGTGGCCCTGAACCTCTCCTGTCAGAATCTGATTGACATGGATGTCCTCTCCAAGTCTGACCCACTGTGTGTGTTTTACATGAGCACATCTGGAACAAGTTGGGTGGAGGTTAGTGTAATTGTTTTTAACCTCAATTATCCCTATTAGGTGTCTGTTTTAGAACGCATCTGAAACGAGGTCAATTCCTGTTGGTTTGCCTAAAACTACACCCAGTGCAAGAAGATGACTTTGAGATATGATTTTGATTCAGGTTGGTCGGACGGAGAGAATCATGAACTGCCTCAACCCCAAATTTTCCAAGGAATTTGTCATTGACTACCACTTTGAGACAGTGCAGAACTTGAAGTTTGAGGTGTTCGACATTGACGACAATGTCGGCTGCAGTCTGCAAGACGCTGACTTCTTGGGGGAACTGGTGTGCACGTTGGGACAGGTAAAATGCTGTTTGCTTTAGAGATCGTTTTTTTTTTCTTTCTGTTAAAACAATGCACCAAAAATAACTGTGCGACATTGTACTTTTTAAGAAGTTGGTATTGACAGCGACGCTGTGGACTGATTATGTGGTGATTTTTTTTTTTTTTCTGTCCAGGTTGTGTCTTCAAGGACTCTAACAAAACCACTTGTCATGAAGGACAAGAGGCCTGCAGGAGCTGGAACAATTACTGTGATTATTCAGATTCTGAGAGCTCATATTTGCTTTTAAAAAATATTTCAGTCAAGACGATGCTTTTTCCATATATGACAGATACATGCAGAAGAAAGAACGGACAACAGAGTGATGCGATTTGAAGTTGCAGGTAGACAACTGGACAAACAGGTATTAACTTTTTGCACCCAAGGGTGAGCGTAGAATAAATCAGTGTTTTTTAGATGGCAAATACCAACAGGCTTCTGCAAAATGTCAGTGTTTGCACATTTGGGGCACCTGTGCAGCAGATCGTGCGTCACGATTGAAAAATTTTCCAAACTGCGGGTTTCAACCTCCCTTGACTTGTTTGTTCTAAAACCGCAGAGTTTTTTTGGCAAGTCTGACCCATTCTTGGAATTCTACAAGGAGACAGCAACGGGATGGCTGTTAGCTCACAGGACAGAGGTACATGCCACTGACAACGTGTTGTTTTTGGAACGTTGACTTTTTGAGCATTTACCCGATGAATGTGACGGTGTCTCATTGTGCAGGTGATAAAATACAACCTGAACCCAGTATGGAGACCGTTCCAAATCCCGATTCAGGCACTCTGTGGAGGTGATGTGGAGAAATCTATAAGGGTATTGACAATTGCAGTCCATATTTTGGGTGTAGAACGTGCAGTGTATTGCTAATTCATATTGCATATTGATTGCTGCGGTCTCATTTCTTGAGACTGTTTTCTCCACGCGTCTCTACTACTGTTTTCAACTCTGATAAAGAGAACATCTGGCTAATGTGTGCTAGTTTTTTTTTTTTCTCGTATCGGGAAACATCGTTTTTACTGGCATCTTCCTGTCTGTGACACTCTGTTTCCAGGTCGATTGCCACGACTACAGGAGCAATGGCTCACATAACTTAATCGGATCCTTTCAGACCACACTGAGCCAAATACAGCAGGCATCGCAAACTTACGCGGTAAACTCTGCCCTCATCTCAAACATGATCAACCTGAATCTGAAAACAAGGGTGTTCAAACAACGGCCAGAGGATTATTTGTGCCTTGATGCCTCGTTTTAGCCGTTTATTCTCTAATTAGGAATTGATGTTAGATGCCGATGAATAAAGGTAATTAAGTCTCAGGAGCAAATAGTCTGAATGGCGATAGTTTGCCCCACTTCCTGCTCCATCTCAAGGTCCGTTTCAGGGCTGCTCGCCACCCGATATTCTTGAAAAGTCTTTCCCTTTGTATGTAATGTCAAAGTCATTACCTTCATAATAGATTTGTTTTAGTGCATTAATCTAAATAAATCAAGGTGAAAAATGACAAAGTATCCCCCGTGTCCATTGAGTTGTCTGTAGACGGTTTAGGCAGATTACTCTCTGTTTTCGTGCAACATGAATTTCAACTTGACGTTTATATTTTCCGTGCCCAGGCTGAGTTTGAATGCATCAATAGGAAGAAGAAGCAGCGCAAGAAGAGCTACAAAAACTCTGGCATTATCGTCATCAAACAGTGCAAGGTATTCACTAATGTTGTTTGCTCTCTGACCCACGTTTAGTACTGTAATTCTCTCCTGAAATGATTTCATTTTCGACCTGTGCTTTTTTTCCCAAATACAAAATTGATTATTTTCTGTTGCAAACACGCATATGCAGATCGTCAAGGAGTACACTTTCCTTGATTACATCTTTGGCAGCTGTCAGATTAACTTCACCGTGAGTGGAGAGTTACATCTCTTATTATTATTATTATTTTTTTTTTTGGTCCAGCACGTTATTCATATCTTGGGATATATTTGTAATATTCGTTATCTATCTGCGCGGGCCAGATCGCCATTGACTTCACAGCCTCCAATGGGGATCCCAAAACTCCACAGTCCCTTCATTACATCCACCCCCACGGCTATAATGAATACCTTTCGGCGATCACGGCAGTTGGTAATGTCATCCAAGACTATGACAGGTAAGTAGGCTTTACATCCAGGCAAGTAAAAGAACATTGTATTGTCATTTCATAGTTGGACGGCCATGATATGATGGCCCCTGAATGTTCTGAACTCGAATTACAAAATCGTTTAACAAATACAGAAGGTGTTGTCTGTGTGTCATTGGATTTTGAGAAATGGGGGAATCATTGTAATCTAGCCATTTATAGTCTTTTCAAATTCAGTAATCTAATGCTTTGTTGTATTTTTGTGCAGTGACAAAATGTTCCCCGTGTTGGGCTTCGGAGCTCAGATCCCTCCGATGTGGCAGGTGATTTTTTTTTTTTTTTTTTTGTGTGTTTGTGTGTGTGTGTGTGTTTGTTTGTTTTTTTTATTTTTCCTGATTTCGTTGTTGTGATATCACATTCACTTGAACCATTTGAGATTTGTACTGGATTGGATCGGCTGAATTGAATTTTCCAGGTCAACCACGAGTTTGCTGTCAACTTCAACCCTTCGAATCCATTTTGTGAAGGTAATGAAAATCTAAAGCGAATACTTTTAACTCAGAGCCACATCAACACACACTGATAAACACACATACATAGATGCAACCACCAAAGAACCTTATTTGGCAACCTTATTGGTTGAAATGGATGCAACACCTAATGTAACGTAGCCATGATCTCCAAAGCGTTCGTCTTGATTTTGGCATGTTTTTTAGGCATTGCAGGGGTTGTGCAAGCCTACCAGCAGTGTTTGCCGCAGGTGAAGCTCTACGGCCCAACAAACTTCTCCCCGATCATCAACCACGTTGCCCATTTTGGCCAACAAGCCTTACAGCAGCATCGTGCCTCCGTGAGTTGTCAAGATGAGATGTCTCATCTGGCATTTTGTTGTCCATGTTCATTTTGGCATCTCGTGCCTTCTGCGCTAATCCAACTGAGAATTACATTTGCCGAAATGTTTTACAGCAATACTTTGTACTGCTCATCATCACTGATGGCGTGATCACGGACATGGATCAGACTCGCGACGCCATCGTCAAAGCCTCGCGTCTGCCCATGTCGGTTATTATCGTGGGAGTGGGCAGGGCCGACTTCAGCGCCATGGAGTTCTTGGATGGAGATGATGGACTTTTGCGCTCGGCTGCAGGCGAGGCTGCCATGAGAGATATTGTCCAGTTTGTTCCATTTAGACAGTTCCAAAATGTGAGTTCCGTAGAACTTTTAAAATGTGTGTTTTTTTTTTCTTTTTTGGAACTCCCATGCAATTTATCCTCTGGTTTTTTTTGTTTTTTTTTTTTACATTGACAAGTAAAATGTTTTTGTCATTTCAGGCAGGAGCTGCTGCCCTTGCCCAAAGCGTATTGGCTGAATTACCTGACCAAGTGGCCTCTTTTTTCAACTTATTAGACCTGAAGCCCCCCAGTGACCCCAGTCCTGCTTAGAATTGTGAGCAAACATAACGAATTATACCACTAATCAAGTTACTCACTCTGTTAAACCACTATTTCTTTTATTTAAAAAGGAAAAAAAACACCTTTCCTGCCTTTATCCTATTAAGTGCCAGTTGATACTTTCTTGATATGCAAATTGTCCAAACAGCCACGTGCCTACAGAAATGTTTACAAACCCACTTCAAAAATCTACCTCCTATATTTTGTAAAGTGTGGGTTATTATTATGTCAGTGTTGGCTTCCATTCTAGCTTGCTGACCCCACCTCTCACAACAACTTGGACGCTGACATGCTGTTTACGCAACAATATTGCAGGATTACCAAACTGAAATTTTTTTTATGCCCCATGTTGTACTGAAGTAATTTTACATTTCAGAGTTGGCATTTCTCATATCAATAACACTCAGCTTATGAAGGCAAAGAGTTATTTGTGAATGTTACTATAACAAAACTGTAACATTATATTCATTTGTTCAGTTGTAACTCTTGTCATTTTTATTGTCTTATCTCAGAGAATTGTATTTGTATTCATATTGATTTTATTTGTATGTTTTGTCTGTTCGAGTATACATCATTGTATGCAGTATGACGTTAAAAACAAATACTGGAACAAGCTACTTTGATGCCTTTTTGAAACCACCAATACTGAATTGGATTGCAATGCAACCTCTCCCCTCGAAATTAACATACATTTGTGTTTTCCCCCATGCAAAGTGAGGTGCCCAACACTGCAAATAGCATTCCTCTGTACCCTGAGTGCGACACAAAATAATATCATGAAGCAAAATAATATGTTTTCTGTGTTTGGTATTGCGGCGGGATTCACTGGATGGTTGTCAGCCTTTTTATTCTCAACAGTGTTTTTGCAGGTCACAAGGTGACAAAAAGTAACGGGCTCCTGTACTACTTTGTGGCAGCATTTTGAGTTAGCCTCTAGCGCCCTCTATCAACATAAAGAGGGACTACATTTTTTAACACTCCTGTATTTCCGGAACCGAAATTGCATTCCACATTGTTTGTTTTGTGACAAAAATACACTACATATTATTATTATTAATATTATTACTATTATCACCCATACATTTTTATTTGTATTTTATTTTACCAAAGAGGCGTGGTCATGTTGTTGGAAGGCGTCACCGTTCACCACAAACGTTGAGGTAGTTGACGGGGCGAGGGCGAAAAGCTTCACGTCCATCGAAGCCACGCCTAACGAAACAAACAAACATATTTCATTGGATTTTGGAGACGTGTGTCACTTTTCTAACGGTAAGTGTCATGCGAAACATTCCCCAAAGCGCCTTTGTATGTAAATCGTAGTGGCTAGCTTAGCTTGACGCCCTGGTGTTGGCGCAACGAAGCGATTGTAATGTTCTAAATTAATATTCATAAGCCTCAGTAACGTGTTGAACACGCGAACCCGAAGCAACATTGTGTGAAGTTTCAATCGCTTATGCCCCAAAAAAATGTACGTTATGTAAACCTGAAGACTACGGTGTTGAAACAACGGCGATTCAAGTTCCGCCAAATAAAGATACTTCGAGCTTATCTGTCATAAACGCCCACCAGTATTTTTCACTAACTGAACTATGCCGCCGTTAGTGAAGCAGTCTGCATTCTAATGTTTGTGCATTTCCAATAGAAGCCCATGTTTTGGTCATTTATGCTTCCGTATTTTGAAAATGAAATCAAAATGTTCTCTCGGTTCTTTGATCCCAGCCTGTGAACAGTCTGTCCGACATGGCTGCTCAGTGTGTGACCAAGGTGGAGTTGACAGTTTCCTGTGATAATCTCCTGGACAAAGACATCGGCTCCAAATCAGACCCTCTGTGCGTCCTGTTCATGAGCACGGCGAACTCCCAGTGGTATGAGGTCAGTCGAGAGAATCTGTATTCGTTCCTTTAATTCATTGTCTGGTAGTTAATGTTGATTTGTGCGCCCTTTTTGTTTCTGTGTGCGAAACAAGCTCACTCTTGACCTGAAGGTGGTTTGTTCAAGACCAACAAGAGCCAAAAAGGACTGTTGGAATATGCATTCATTTTTTGCAGAAAGCGAAAAATGATCTCTCTCAAAATTATCCCAACACAATTGCGCCACTGATTTCAAATAAGATTTGTCAATGCGCACAGAAATGATTTCAGTAAAACTTATGTTCCCCGAGAAATGGTTTCAAAGCCGATTCCTTCTTAAAGGGGTGTACTAATTTATGTTGTCCACTGTGCATCGCGGTTGTTTCAGAGCACAAGTAATCATTAACCTACAGATGGAAATACACGCTTTGCTAATCAGTAATAAGAACTTTTTTTCATTACTGTGTGTGTTTCAGGCAGTTTTATTTAAGATTACAACACTCGATGTTCAACTCTAATCATCTGAATGAAAACGCAAACAAAAAAACCCAAAATCTACTTTGCACATAGTAACAATGCATTAACTTTCTCAACAGTTGGAACGCACAGAAAAGGTCCAGAATTGCCTCTGCCCAAAGTTTGCCAAAAAGTTTGTCATCGACTACTACTTTGAGATGGTGCAGAAATTGAAATTTGGCATTTATGACATTGACAACAAGACCGTTGATCTTAGTGATGATGACTTCCTCGGAGAACTGGAGTGTACCTTGGGCCAGGTAAGGTTTTCCCGACTTGGGCTTCCACTTAGGGCAAAGACATCAGAGTTATTTTTTTTCTACTGATAAATGTTAATAATCACAGTTATTATTGATGTCAAGCATCCCCCTGGGACGCAAAGCTCAATACTTTTACGTCTCCAGTAGGTTCAAATGTTTTTTTTTTTTTTTTGAAAGATTTTTTTCCCTACAAAATCAAACAACTGAAATAATCACAGTTATTATTGATGTCAAGCATCCCCCTGGGACGCAAAGCTCAATACTTTTACGTCTCCAGTAGGTTCAAATGTTTTTTTTTTTTTTTTTTTTTTAAATTATAACCAGGTCGTGTCCAGTAAAAAACTGACCAGGCCGCTGGTCTTGAAGAACAAGTCACCCGCAGGAAAAGGGACCATCACAGTGAGCAATTGAGTGTTGCTTCATTGTACGCTGTGCCCCCCGCCCCACCCTGTTGTTCAATTCCTTGTCCATTCTGCTGTAGATCAGTGCTGAAGAAATCAAAGATAACCGGGTGGTAAATTTTGAGGTGGAGGCAAGAAAACTGGACAACAAGGTATTTAGAAGATCAGAAAGGAATTTGAAAATGTTGTCATGTTATGAATTTAAAAGTGCTTCTTTTAAAAACCCGACAGGATTTCTTTGGGAAGTCTGACCCCTATCTGGAATTCTACAAGATGACAGAAACTGGCTGGCAACTGGCTCACAGGACCGAGGTAGATGAACTCAAGAAGTGACACTGACGTTAATGTGCTCTTTTGAAACGGATGCAATGGATGCAATGGATGCAATGCTCATTTCCTCTTTTTCCGGCGAGATGAAGATAAAGTAAGCAGTTGTTCTGTCCTTAGGTGGTGAAGAACAATTTGAATCCTACATGGAGACCCTTCCGAATCCCCCTGCAATCTCTCTGTGGCGGAGACATGGAGAAATCTATAAAAGTACCTATATGTATTTGATTAATTATTTTTTTACAACAACAAACCAACAAACACCTCAGTTCAATGTTTCATCTTCGGGATAGGTTTGGTCACATTCAGGGTGGCATCATCCAGTACAGTCTCATTCTTTCATAAATAAGCATTTCATTTGCTGGTCATACAAGTTACACGCCAGACACGGTGACCTGATGAGTGTATTTAGCGCAGGCCTGATGGATGACACGTCTTCTCTTAACTTCTAAGCAAACTTGTCAGGAAGGAAGCTGTTTTCAAGCGTACAGGACAAGTGAGTTATCCAGATCGTCGTTTTTGTTTTCAGTTCATCTTAACATGACTTAGCTGGAATGGGTGAAGTGTGACTAGATTAGATGGGAAATGTACTCTTTTCATCTACATTTCTTTTTCATCCAGCACATATGACATTTGTCCGCTGCCGGGTATATTGATGTGAGTTCAACTTGGCAATTTGCGTATTGCAGTCGCTCATGTTTGCATGTCTTTTGGGACTTGGGCATCTTTCAAGTTTTGTTCCACTTAATTAAGTGACATTAGAAGAGCACAAATATTCTGGTGTTAACTAGCATAATTATCACTAGCTGTCACAAAGTATACTTAAAATGAAAACTGTAGAAATGTACATCATTATTTTAATCGTCATTTTGAGTGGAGCAATCCTTTAAAGTGCTGTACTTGTTACCCTTTGTGTATCCTTGACATTTGTTGAGTTTGCCACATCATTGGGTTTCCTCTTCTTTCTACTGTAGGTTGACTGCTTTGATTACGACAGTGATGGCTCGCATGATCTCATCGGTACTTTCGAGACCACAATGAAGCGCCTTCAAGAAGCATCGCGTACCTCACCGGTATGAGCATATTAGGCAGTGTTTGTTCCCTCCAAAACAACAACCACAATCTCAAAGTAGTGAGCATGTTTTGGACAGTGGGCCCAGTGGTCAGCCGTTTGAGATGATGATGCGAGAAATGACATGACTAAACACACGTGCTATGTAAACTTAACCTATTGCTGTGCCTTAGCTCTGGATGCTGCTCCACTGTGTGCTTCATTCCATGCTGTCCTCGTTAGAAAATGGTTGTGAAAGACATCAATTTCCATTAACAACAACAACAACAACAACAACAACAAAAATATTTGTATAGTTGTAACAGTAGCACAGCATGCCAAACAATAGCAATGGAGTATCGCTAAAGTCACTATTGCTCGTCAAGTATGTGTGGTCTGAAGTGCTAAAGAGCCTATTTTCCCCTCAGGCAGAATTTGAATGCATCAACAGTAAAAAGAAACAAAAGAAGAAAAGCTACAAGAACTCTGGTGTTGTGAGTGTGAAACATTGTCAGGTACAAATATTGCTGTGCTTATGCTGTTTGGTTATGTATGATAATGTCAATCAGTGTAAAAAAAACAACAACACAATTTTCATTTCACTTGAAAGGTGGTCAAAGAATACACATTCCTGGATTATGTTATGGGGGGCTGTCAACTCAACTTCACCGTGAGTCCCCCTACCAACCCCCCAAAAATTAAAATACGGTGTGTCTGTTATCTTTTTTCCTCTGCTCACCTTGTCATGTCCTGGCAGGTGGCAATCGACTTCACAGGTTCCAATGGGGATCCGAAGTCCCCTCATTCTTTGCATTACATCAGTCCACAGGGCATAAACGAATACCTCTCTGCTATTTGGTCAGTGGGCAACGTCATCCAGGACTACGATAGGTATGTGTGATATGTGAAATGCAGTATTATAGTATGTACAATGATGTCTGTATTCCTTCCTCACACCCAAGGCTGGTTTGATTTAAATGGCAACGCTTTGTTTGACACAAGTAGCATGTCTTATTGTCTGTCACTCCTTTGTAGCGACAAGATGTTTCCTGCGTTTGGCTTCGGGGCCCAGATCCCGCCAACATGGCAGGTAAGACCATTTTTTTCATGACTATTTCTGAGTGAGCTGTGTAAACATGACATTTCTTGAGCAGGTGTCCCACGAGTTTCCACTCAATTTCAACCCAACAAATCCATTCTGCGCAGGTGTGTTAAAAAGGAGAGGTGGCACGTCTTGATATTAGACTAGTCTGTCATGAGTTGATCCCGTTGTTGTCATTGTGTTTGTGGTGTGCAGGTGTTGAAGGGATAGTGGAGGCCTACAGGGTTTGCCTTCCCCAGGTCAAACTTTATGGTCCCACAAACTTCTCACCAATCATCAACCATGTAGCGAGCTTTGCACAGCAAGCCCTGCAGCAGAACACTGCCTCAGTGAGTGCCTGTCGCTTTTGCTTCCCGACACTCCACATAATTACTTTTTTGGTTTTTTTAAACACAATGCTCTTCTGTTCCCTACAGGCAGAATGTAGACATTACTAATGTACATTTTATTTTATTTTTTTAAGTTTGCAGTTGTGCAGCTTGCTGCCTATTAGGGACAAAATTTCATACGGCAACATTCATGCCAAATGTATTGATATGATTGTTTAATTGAAAATAAAACATGTAAATACAAAAGGATGTGGAAAGTGCAGCTGAACTGCTAAGAACTCACTCTGTCTGTCTGACTTGTTTGTCGGCATTTCAGTGATTTAACGGTTGCTTTTTTTTTTGTTGCGCCCAAAGCAATACTTTGTGCTGCTCATCATCACCGATGGAGTGATCACTGACATGGATCACACACGTAATGCAATCGTCAACGCCTCGCGTCTGCCCATGTCCATCATAATCGTGGGGGTGGGCGGCGCAGACTTCACCGCTATGGAGTTCCTGGATGGAGACGACGGGCGTCTTCGCTCTCTGACTGGCGAGCCTGCCATGCGTGACATCGTCCAATTTGTACCATTCAGGCAGTTTCAAAATGTAAGTCAATTGAATTTACCGGATCATGTAAATTCAGTTTGCCTTGCGGTTACGTTGATTCCTCCCGCACCCCCTTGCTCCCCATTTTAAGCTGTTAACATCACTAATTCGTTGCTTCAAGGGAGACCTATATGACATTTATGTCAAAATTGAAAACAGTTCACAGGTGTCCTCTGAGCATGTTTGTGCGGGCTTTCCTCAAAATATCCCGAGGAGCAAAAAATATCGCAGAAAAATCCACTTTCGTCTGTGTGCCTTATTTCTCTGCAGGCACCCAGCCAGGCTCTTTCACAAAGCGTATTGGCAGAGTTACCTCAACAAGTGGCGTCCTTCTTTGGGTTACTCAAACTGAAGCCTCCCCACGAGCCCAGTTCTTCATAGGGGTATCCCATATATTTGGTCTTAAGCCCCATATAACTCTCCCATGCTGTTTCCTCCCTGACAAATACTGTAGTGTAACCCCTTGCTCAACTGAACCATGGCATGCATCTCATGAGCATTTATTCGCTCTCCAACTGGAGGACCTTGTACTAGCACGCTCTTTGTCCTCACGGTCAGAGCACTCATAGAATGTCTGTCTCCACCCACTACTGCATGCCATTTCTACATACCAATAGGACACCTTTGCCATACTGGAAGCACAAATACATGTCACGTTACTAACGAGGCAAGACCTGTGGATATTTTGGTGTAACTGGAGTCAAGGAGGCTACTAATGCGTGATTCATATTCACACTAGTTGGGGCTACTAGAGTGACTGGTGCAGCACAGTAGCTTACTGGTATGGTCTAATCGTGTAATAGAAGGCCAAATGTGAAAGAAGTAGGAAAAACATTACATGTTGTTCTACTAGTGTACTCAATTGTCTTACTCGTGAGGACAAGCGTACTAATACATGGACTTGAAGCTGGATGGAAAGGATATTGAATAAATGCTGCAATGCCTTTCCACAGCCTCTTCCTTTATCTTCGTAAACCAATCATGAGTTTCATCATTTGGCCTGTTTATATATATTGAAAATAATAACCTAGACTGTTGTTGTGGTAGATGATAATTTAAGTAAGATTATACTCTCAGAAGCCTTGGCAGTATTTTAACCACTTGAGTTTCGTACCAGTGGGTTGAACACACAAAACCGCGCAAGATGTATCGTCTCCTTCCCGAGCGCTGCTGAAATGCCCTCGATTGTGCACATCGCTTTTATTGTTCGATATTTGTTATTTTCACAAGTGCTAACTGTTGTGTGGCCAATTAAAATTTCGTCTGTCTTTGTCCACATTAGTTCTTGTCCGTCGTTTCATAATTGTTGACTCGTTTAATGTTTCTGTCAATGCCAAATCTGTTCTCTCATTACCACAGGCTCCAAAAGAAGCATTGGCGAAGAGTGTGTTGGCTGAGGTTCCTGGTCAACTCGTGGAGTTTTGCAACACCATGAAGCTGAGTCCACCCAACACCAATCCTGTTGCAAAGCCTGCAGAGGCCATCTGATGTTGCTGCACAAATCAACTGGAACCCAGACCACGTTACAGTACCCCCTTTCTACCTGACTTAATCTGCTAAAACCCAGACTAGGAAATGCAAAGGAAACACTCCAAATTATTCCCCAATCATACTCTTTATAAAAAGCATGTTGTTCTCCCCCGCAAATTTAAAACATTAATATTCCAGGCAGCTCACTAAAGATGGACCTTCGCTGACCAATTTCATCCTTGATGATAGGGCAGGCACTCGAATTATTTGTATACAAATGTCAGTCGACAGTACGTTCCCTTCAAGTCCATAGCCGTTCATTCTAACAATTACTCCTACGTACATTGCTGCTGTTTTTAAAATCTGTAGTACAGGTGCTTTATTTTTTTAAGAAAAAAAGTTTAATAAGCCAGTCTTGTGTTTAACTTGTGCCACGAAGAGTTAGTAGCGAATGAATAATTTTAGGCATCAACAATCCTGTCATTAGTACGAGCAAGTTTACAGCCTCATGTAATCAAATAGCTTTTTATATGCTATTTTGCGAAACAGTTATTGTTGCTTTTACAATATGTTATTTACTGAAATGGCAAAACCCTACACGTACCATATAGTATGCTATAGTTTTAGAGCACTTATTTGAGATGTACAAATGCCATCGTCATTTAATTCTTTTACTTGATTGATTAGAAGCACTTCTAAGAGAACCAATGCCACAAAACTAGGATCTTTTTGCTAACAGAAGAAACAAAAATAATATGCATCAGTGTTAATACAGTATACAGTAGTCATGTTTATCGTAAATAAAAACAGACATTGCAATTCTATACTTTTTCGTGTTTCATGGTCATCTATGTGCATATGTTAAATATCAAGGTTTTTATCCATCCTTTATGTATACTACTTATCCTCTGAACAATAGGTGGCGTACACCCTGGACTGTCACCAGCCAATCACAGGGCACATATAGACAATTATTCACAACGAAGGACAATTTAGTATTTATTTATTAGTCAGACCAAAGGAAAAAAAAAAAGTCTCTTCTGCAAGAAGTCACACCACTTTAATGTGAAAGTCCACAAAAGAAACTCACGTGCAGTGTAAGGTTCAGTTCTTTGCAAAAATATGTACGTAGTGTACTATATTTAATTACGTGTAGTCAAACAGATCCTTGATTTTATTTACCATATAAAAATAAGATCTTCTCATTTTTGTTAGCCATAATGTTGCAAGTTATTACATCATGAATCTTATTAGAGTTCATTACTTTGCCTTTCTACACTTGTAGACGAGTCAACTGTTCAATTTCTACAGGTTCACCTCTCCACCACTGTGCATACAAAGCATCTTTGAGCGACAAACTTCCAGTGAACCTTACATGACAACTAACACATGAGCTGGTTCGGGCTAGACCAAAACAACCAAAAGTCTGAAATGGCGATACCAATCCGATGGTAGTAGTGATTACATGCGGTGAATGTTGGTGTGATCCATGAACTGTTTTAGATTCTGCAAATTGTCCCACCATTTGAAGAGGAAGGTCTCTGCGATAAGCTGAAACCAGGGAGTGATCTCCAGTTCTTTACGCTTGGCCTTCTCCAGCATTTGCCGTAGCTCTTCTTTGCTCACATAACAGTGGCTTTTAATTTCGTTTGGGTCCGGGCTCAACTCCACATCCTTCAGAGACATTTAAAAAAAAAAAAAAAAAAAAAAAAAAGTCAGCGCAATTCTGATAATTTTTTTTTTTTTTAATATAATATGTCAGAGTACTTGAAGTCTTTCTGGTAGTTAACCCAGCATGACTGATAGCTACCTTCTGCATAAAGAGGATGTAGTCAATCTCATGCTCTCCCCAATCGCCATCTGACTGCGCCTTATAATGGATCCTTGTTAGATAGGCCATTTCATCTGGAGTCACCTGCATATCGAAAGCAAAGGGAGCGCATATGCACCATGTTACACCTTCATCTTTTACCTTTCCTTTCATCACATTTTACCTGTTCTATGGGGATACCCAGTTCTGCTTCGAGTCTCCTCTGCGCAGCTCTTCTCACTCCAATGGCATCTTTCTCCTCGAGCTCACTGTCGGTGTATAATGGGTGACTGCAGCATGTGTTGGTGAAACAGCCTGAAAGACAGACCGAGTATTACACTTTACGAACTGCAGACACGAACCTTGTGTGGATGTGCCACTCACCGGGAAAAGTGATTTTGGCATCGGAGCGCTGCTGTAACAGCAGTTTCTCTTCACTGTTAAAAATGAAGACGCTAAAGGCTCTGTGTAATAAACCTGGCCAGAAAGAGTATGAGATGAAAAATACACGCCAAAAGGCAGGACGAGTGTAAAAGTAGGGAAAGTTCACCTTTCTCGATGTTGATGTTTAGGTGGCAGTTTTTCTTTGTGTCGGCACCAATCCGTTGGTCATTTTCATCGATGAGGATGCACATCTCGGCCAGCAACTGCACCTGCTTCTCATCCAGGTGGTCTGTGGTTATGTTAGGCATTTTGGCCGAACACTGTTGGCGCCTCACGTCACTGCAGCAAACAAACAATCAATTTTGTGTACTTTACACCACAAGTCTCAAAGTCCGGTCCTCGAGAGCCGGTGTCCTGTATGTTTTCAATGTCTTCCTGCTGCAACACACATGATTCAAGTGATGAGGATCATTATAAGGCTCCTGGACCTTCACACCTATGGTTTATGCACACCTTGAAGCAAGACTGCTTGGCCGCCTAGTCTTTGTTTCCTCAAAGTGATGTTTTAGTAAGTTTAAACGTGTTTAAAGCATATGTGAGGGGAACACTTAAGTTTTTTTGAAAGCTACGTACCCCCGTCTCCGTTATTCCCTATATCGCGCATGTTCCCATATGGTGGGGAGATCTAGAATTCATCCTCGCGATTAACGGAGGTTCACTGCACATTTAAAAACAAATTGTGACACTAGTCTTTAGCGCGCATAAATACTAAACTACCCTCTTATCAACTAGTTCTCCCAGAACTACCATGTAGACCAGTTCACTGTTATGTCAGATATCATGGCCACGCAATCCGACATGAGGACGTCTCTTGATTTCAGTTTGCAGTACAGTATAAGCTTTGTTGTAACTTAAAGCGACATATTGTTGGCCCGAAAGCTTACCTGGATAAAGATCGGGAGCACGCAGCGACCAGTCGGCGGAACGCCCCGGTCTGAGGTTGATAAGCGCGTGCGAAGCCAGCAGGTGCGTTTGTTTTCAACACGGCTGCTCCTTGGAAAGTCACCGCCCGTAACACCGCCCACAAGGCCCGCACCATCGTGTGACCAAAACTGCAAACCAATCACGTGGCACTTGGACGTTGGGTGCAGCTAAAATATGGATCAAAACTTTTGGCCTGGATCATACATTGACTTCACAGTGCCCCCCTGCTATTTCACGGGTTAGTAGTGCTATTGTAAGTGTACTGGGGACCAAAGTACAAATATAGAAGATTCTACTATTGTAATTAAGTATTTTTCAAGTTTCTGTACTTTACCTGTGCAAATAATTTTGCTGATGACTTTTATTCCGTTTGAAAATTAGCTGTACCCACTACTAATTGCTTTTGTCAAAATAGGCATGAGAGGTCAACTCACCTACAGTTTACATTTTTGATTGATTGAGTTCTTGGGAACTTATAAGGTCTAATGTCAACCAGGGAGATTTACCAACTACAGTATACCAACCAAGATTGGGAGAAGCAAGACATGACCCATTCATTGATTATTTTGGACGTCGCATGAATCTGTTGCCAGCCTAAAAATAACAATCTTCTGGTGTTAAAAAAATCCCGTCTAATGTTTCCAAGACATTTTCGAGACTTGCAGATATCAGCGAGAATTTAGTCCATTCTTCTGATCCTGTTCTTGTTTTACCGTCAACACTGCTCATCACACACGCCATCGGACCACAAGTGCGGCCCAGGCCCAGCTCCACCCAGGCCTGATCACGCAAGTACGTGCATTGTATGCGCTACATAGAACGTTAGAGAAAAAGAGCATAAGAAGACTTACTGTTATAACAATCTCTTGCGTTGGAAAAGCAATCCGTTACGTCTATTTTCCCTTTCGCCTTCGCTTACGACGACATTTAAGGCGCAATGCTGGCTGTGAATCGCCCGACTACTAGCATTGCGTCACACCTCACTGCGTTTCTATTGGGCGGAATATCGGCGTGACAGCTCATTGGTGGGGCTAGAACAAAACGCAAACTGCGTAACACGGAAGTGTTTGCACCCGAGCAGTCTGTGATGTGTCAAAAAATTGAAAGCATTTTCCGACCGTTGTACCGTCCACTGACCCACCGTGTTTTTGCACTTGAGAAGGAATATCATGCGTGATTAGTGTACACCGAGTGACGTTTCACGCTGCGGCGAGAGTTTGTGGTATGTAGGCAATGCCATCTGACAGAAAGTGCTAGATGCGCTCATCTGGGTGAACCCTGACAGCGGTGAGTCTTTTTTTGTCTTTTGCCGTATATTCCTGGTTTCCAAACGTCAACCTTGACATCAGTCAAGTGGTTCGCGGATTTGTCAATATGCTAATTGAATTAAATTTCACGTTTTAAACCCGTTACAATATTACAAACGAATGATGTGCGAGTTCCCTCGGGTGATCTGCAAAACAATCACTGCCAAAGTACAGTTACGTTTTTTTTCTTCAAGTCCATACTTATATTGGTGCAGTTTTTATTCACAGGTAATGTACATTAAGTCTTGATGTAATGATTATGTAAGTGTAAGTTTGGATTTCCCTGTACAGGGCACTGCCATATACGCTGTATAATGCACGATTACACACACACACACACACACACACACACACACACACACACACACACTATATATATATATATATATAATGTGTGTGTATGTATGTATGTATTAGCAATAAAACTGTTTGTAAAACATAGTGAGTTCTTGAATTGCCTCTCTACATGACACGCCTGTTTGAAACCTGTTAGTTTTGTTTGTCCCTTCAAACATTCGTGTTATTGTTTTGTAATCTTAGCATTTCCCTGTTGTTCGAGGTGACAAAAGTACTCACACTTGGCTTTTGTCAAATATCCCTAGTATCACGAATACCAGTCCACATTCCACCCGCTATTTGCGTCGTGGTGAAATTGGCTCAGTTTGCAATATATGCAAGTCATGGTGCATCTTCCCTATATATGATCACACATAGACACAGAGCCAGATATGGATAGTCCCGTCCCAACAACAAAAACTGTTAATGACTTTTGGGACAGCCTGTCTCTAAATATTATGTAAAAAGTATGAATGTAGTTAGATTTTGATTAATCTGTCTTTTTCAGGGCATATCCTTGCAATTTTTTTGAACTGGAATTTGCCTTTGACCCGCAGGCAGATGGTGCTAACTGAACAGCGCTGCCCAACCATCAGCCACCCAGCCCTGTCGGGTTTCGTTTGCCTGCTCTTCAGGTAGGAGGTAAACCGGGGGCGGGGCCATCCGGCAAAGTAGGCGGAATGCCCGTTGAGGGTGGGAGCAGCGGCAGCTCTGCCTCAACTGCTCGTCACCCCAAACAAAAGCGCAAGGCTCACAGCCTTTCTATTCGGCGCACGAACAGTACAGAGGAGAGGCCGCCTGGCAGCCACAGAGGAGAGATGCTGGAGGGACAGGTGAGAAGCATACCTCGAGCGCCGTGCAAACGTACTTTTTTTCAGGCCGGTACTGTGTTTCCTCAACATACGCAGGACTTCGGGAAAGGACATTGGCGCCCAGTGCTCTACTCCATATCATTTGCTTATTAGGTGCTGCTTTCCTCTCAAGAAAGTACAGAACCGGCTGGTTGAGCAACAGTGCTTTTTTTTTCCAGCTCTTGCAAATCTACGATTTCCATGTTGTTACAAAACGTTAAATGGACTCATTTCAAATTAACATCACTCTTGTCATCTAAAGTTTACTTGAATAATATAGGAGGATAATATAAAATCCCAAATGACCGGAGGTTTAGTGCTTGTTTTTAAAGCATTACATTTATAGACCACTCTTCAACTTAGTGAATCCTCTCCACTGGTGGTTACATTCGAAGTTGCTACTCCAGATTTATTACCTTCAGAAAGGGAAGCTCATAAATATTAGGTGGGCCGGTATTTACTTATCAAGACAAGGACACCTGATCACATAGATCCCGGTCGTTAATGTTGGAGCCCAGTCTCGTTGTTTTTCCATCTCTATGATAAAGTGAGGAAAGGTTGTGCGGATTATTTATTTATTTTTTGGGTGCATTTTCTCATGTTTCTGCTGTTATTTTGGTTAGTGGTAGACTTTAGTCACGTCTTTTGGTATTTGTGATGGGACCAACTGAGCCCCAATGATAATCAGTTCGCGTTTTAGATTTCTTTGGAGTCGAAGCGCTGCTTATGCATTCTCCGCTAGTTTACTCTGCAGGAGAGCAACAAGATAGCAGCCATGGCAAACGGAGCTACAGTTTCATTCATACGCAAAGCATTTGTGCAGCGTTATCTCCAAAATGTATTTGATCTTCAAAGTATTCAATACTAGATCGCTTTATTCTTGTCAACTGGTGTTAGCAGGGTTGCAAGTTGTTTAACCTTCACTTTGCTCCGGTTGATTTATCAGCCACTCAAACTATCAGCCGCGGACCCGTTGTCTCATCGAGTTTTGCTGACTCGGTTAATGTTTCCTGCCTCACCTACAGTACCCACCTAACTTTAAAACTGACATATAACCTGCAGAATGCACTTTTCCCACGCTGACATTATTAGCCTGAATTATGCCGCGGGGTTTTTCGTGGCACAACTAAGCGGCTTTGTGTACATAATGGCTGCCTGTTGTTTTCTAATTCGTCTTTTTCTGCAAGCGTGTGGCGCCGACACAATGGTCAGGAGACGAACGTCGCAGTGACAAGCTGTTGGTTTTGAACTTGTGCCAGAAGAGAGAGTGACAGTGGAGTATTTGGTTTCCTGGTCCTCGTAATAGTTGGCCGCAGAGAGGAAATAAGAGTCAGGCCTTCGTTTGAGCTGTCAAATGCAGACGTTTGCCATCGCACAAGCTTGTACTTCTCTCGGGGGGTAGGTGGGGCGTAGACTTGTGATCATCTTGGAACTGTGTGCTTGCAATGGAGGTAGGTGAACTGGCTAGTTTCTCTGGATCGAATTGTTTCTTGGTTTCACACTCACCAGACACAACGTTGTCAGTATATCTACTGTATTTGAAATTCTTTTCGAAAAATAATAACGCTCCGTTTCGATTGACCCTCTCGACCAGCTGCTGTTGTAACGTATGCGTTTGAGCAAGGTGACTGTTGAGTGGGCAACAATCCCATCTGGCTTAAGTTTGCTCCGTTTTGACGTTTCTTTGTAGGACTCCAAGCTGCCGCAGTCTCTACGAAACAATCTTGTCGACCTATTTGGCCAGATTGAACGGGAGTTTGAAAATCTCTACATCGAAAACCTTGAACGTGAGTACATCGGTTCGTCCAGACCTTGAGATGTGCTTTATAAAATGTAACCAGGACAATAAATATCAACAATTTAATGCTCAGTGACACTAACATTCTTGTCAACTTATATTTTTGGAGCGCACTTTGTTGACCTTTTGCTATTGATTGTCTAATAAACCAGGATGTAGACCGTGTTTGTCTACTAAGGCCTTGTCTCTGTGCTAACATTACAGTACGACGGGAAATTGATTCCCTGAATGAACGTCTGACTGGCGACGGACAGAATCTTGAGGGAGGAGATCCCTCCAAGGGAGCCCTGAAAACAAAAGGTCTTGTATTTCCTGTGGGATTTGCCGGAGTAATGTTATTGTTATTGCTCGTGTGGTCGCCCTAATGCAGATTATGTGGCTTCACTGGAAGATTTGGAAATGCTGGCCTTAGGTTCCTAAGCACATTGGCCGGCAATGAGATTATAAGGAGTAAAAATATGAGTATTTTATCTGTAGGTCAAAATGAAAAGTAGACAATCCCCGCCACTGCGGACCAGTGTGTCTCAGAAACATTCACTTGAATTCAACATCCTTAGCTCAAGTTGCCCGTGCATGATACGCATCAATGTCTGGTAGTAGTGTTCAAGCATCATTCATCACGACTCGTGGCTACCGCAAAGTCAATCTTTGGCCGTGGAGATTTGACATGCCAGCAGCAGTGAAACCAACCACGAGGTTTGTCAGCATCTGTTTCCAGTTGTAATGTTGACTATGTCTTTGTCGCACATGCAGCCAGCCACAGCACCAGCCAACTGTCACAGAAGCTGAAGACGACCTACAAAGCCTCAACCAGTAAGGTATTGAACTTGTTTGCCTTTTTGTACAGCTAATAAATGTGTTACTTGTGTCAATATTTGGAACGGCTTACATGATGTCGCTATCAAACGGCGCTTTGTTTCCAAGTGAGGAAAAGGAGGCGCATCTTGTCCCACCCTCGAAAGGTCATGTGCGATTTCATGTGCTGAAGTGTAATTCATTGACAGAGTTGCCTGCTTTCAGACACTCGCACCTCCCTTGAGTTCTTCCTTTGTAATTTCTTTGCTATATATAAAACGATTGTACGCTTTCACTGGCAAAATAGGTGGACCGTGCCAGAGTCAAAAGTGTGGCCACTTGAGAGTTATGAGGAGGCGAATCAGGGGTAATGTCCCGTGTATACTGTTAATCACATGCTCCGATTCTCTTTTTAAACTGCAGCCTGACCTTGACTCTGCATCTCATCCCCCGACTTATTTTTAGCAACAGCGGCATCGACAGACATATAAAACCTAATATTTCCTCACGCAGCGGCTGGGGACAATTTTACTCACCTGCAGCAAGTAGCGGGAATCCATTTGGGTGAAAAAAAAAAGAAAATCACGATTAGATTTGTACGTCTGGACTTTAAGGTTGGGTATAGTCAAGGAACAAAAGGCAGAACATAAGTGTGATCCTAACCACACCCGACAGAATAAGAGCGGACATGAACGCAGTCTGACACGTGCGAGCCGGATGCTTTGCTGCGACGCTGTTTGCTTTGGTCAGTCGTCGGCTTGCTGCTTGCGTATGTAGCACAGCTTGAGAATTTTTTTGCCGTGTTTAGTTAAACCACCGGTGACCCGAGTCATGTCATGCGACTCCAGGCCCCCCACCTCTCGCACGAGGCTCATGCTTCTACACTCACCCCTCTGCTTTTCACTTGGCTTTCGTCTTCATGATGCCTTAACTGGAAAGTAGCAGCGCAGTGGTGTTTGGAGTGTTCTAATTGATGGTCCAATGAAATAGAGATGTCGTCATGTAATTGTCGGCCCCTGCCTTTTTTGGCATCTTGATGATCTTAGAATCCATTTTGCAGCAGTTGAAACCTTGTTTTTTTTTTTTTTTTTTAATTCTCTGTATGACTGCATTTACTCCCATTCAGATTGTATCCAGCTTCAAAGCCACAACAGGCTCCCGAGCTTTATGCCATCTGCAAAAGGAGTATGTTGGCCATCGGGACGGAATTTGGGACCTCAGTGTGACCAAAACTCAGCCAGTCGTCCTTGGAACCGCTTCAGCAGGTACATCGCCCTGCAGTGTGCATCTCAGGAAGCCACTTGTACCTTCTGTCTCATCAGTTTCAATCAAAAATTGTGCTCCAAGTGCAGTTTCTACATTTCGATTTATATGACCTTACACCATTTTGCCCGGTTGTACACGCTGCTTTCATACGCGCTTTAGATTTCCGAGGTTGAGTTCTCACGCGTGCTTTGGCAAAACTGTTCATGACGACATGACCCGCTTTGTTCACAGACCACTCAGCCCTGCTTTGGAGTATCGAGACTGGGAAATGTCTGCTCAAGTACGGTGGCCATGCAGGATCAGGTAATCACAAAGTGACTCATTTATGTGAGGCAAGCCAGAAACAGCAGCGATATCATCTCTGCCCGGTGAGGCTTTCATGCTGTCGAGTGTGAAGGCCTCTTGTTGAAAAATATTCACTCGCACCGACATTTCTGTTGTTACAAGTATTTAAAAAGTCTGTTGGTGCTCTGAGTCATTTGTATTGATCTCTCTTCCACAGTCAACTCGATCAAGTTCCACCCCACAGAGCAGATGGCCCTCACAGGTAAAAAATGAATATCGGTGTCAATATGTTATTTTGCCTCGTTGCTTTTTGAGCACGCTGTCCCGATTCTCTCTTGTCGAGCCGATACTGTTGATCTTCATGTTTGTTCCCGTGTCCTTGCATCGCCCCAGCCTCCGGGGACCAGACGGCTCACATCTGGCGCTACATGGTGCAACTACCTGCCCCCCAGCCAGCACCAGATGTCAATGTAAGTCACTTTCTTCTGCTCAATTTGAAAGAGTTGAATAGGCTGGAATGCCCCGGAAATTGACATTCCCGATTGACTTTGTCATCTGTTCCCCAGAAGGCGCCCGCGACTGAACATTTGTTTTTTTTGCAATTTTAGGCACCGTGTGACGATGACCAGGATTCTTCAGACCGCGAAGAAGGCGAGGTGGACGGCGAAGGCCCTTGCGAGGTGCCCACTGTCCGGGTTGCTACGGCAACCCTGAAAAGTCACCAGGGTGTCGTTATCACAGCTGATTGGCTGGTGGGGGGCCGACAAGTGGTGACAGCTTCTTGGGATCGTGCTGCCAACCTTTATGAGGTGGAGACCTCTGAACTGGTGCACACTCTCACTGGTACGTCAGCAGACAACGCAAGGTTTGCCTCCACCTTTCAAGTATTTATGTTCTAATAGCTTTTTCTATCCATGTCTGCTGATGAATAATTGACACTCCCTCAACAGGGATGTGTAATTTCCCATGGATGCCACAAGATAGCAGCAAAGTGCTTTAAGCTCAGACGCTTAGGTTCCTCAAACGGTTGCAAAATGAAACTGTGAATATGTGGGGGTTCACTTTATTCATATTGGGCCATGTGCAACTTTCATGTGAATGAAATGTTTCATAGCAGTTTGCCTACAACCTTACTTTCATGCTTCATGAGACGTATCAAAATGGAGGCTAGTTTGATGGCAGGATGTATGTTCCCACAGTAGTACCTTATGCTCCCCATAACCTGAGATAAAGGCTGATTTCTCGCTGTGTGCGCAGGCCATGACCAAGAGTTGACCCACTGTTGCACCCACCCAACCCAGCGGTTGGTCGTCACCTCATCCAGGGACACCACCTTCAGATTGTGGGACTTCAGAGATCCATCCATCCACTCCGTCAATGTCTTCCAGGGCCACACCGAGTGAGTTTCGCACTCAGACACACCCACATAATTGAATGGGTGCTTGAAAAGGCCGCACTTCTCCGCAGTGTTTATATGAACCACAGAGTGGCGCTCTATTCTCTCTCTGGTGTCTGCTCCTCGGAGGACTCCCTCACCCACAAGTTTGCTAAGCCAAATCCTCCACTTGCATCTCATTCGTTACTAAGTGCCTCTCAGCGTCTCTCGGCATCTCTCTGTGTCTTGTGTACAGTATTTATCTGGCTGCTTCCCCATTAATCCTCCACTCTGTGTAGTTTTTCCTCCGTGAGCACTCAATTGCTGTCACTCATTTTAGCTCCGCGGCAACACCTTGTCTGTTCTTTAAAAGGGGTGTGTGTGTGTGTGTGTGTGTGTGTGTGTGTGTGTGTGTGTGTGTGTGTGTGTGGTTATTTTTGCAATTTATTAATTCAGTTTCCAGTGTGTTTTAATTGTCAGTTTTCTTTAATTTTGACAGCCATGGTTGTGTGGTCCCAAGAATGTGTGCACGTGCGTCAGTAGGACGGGTCTATTACCTGTTTTCCCCCCCACACCAAAGTCGGATTACTATCCATACGAACCGAACTGCCCACACACACACCAATGAGTGTCACAAAGGAAAGGTGCCATTTCTGCTGCTAATTTGTTCATTATGCCACACAGATAAATGTGAATGCGTCCCAGCTTCAGGGTCCAGCGCTTCACATTTCTTCTGTCTTCTCCAGCAATTAGCGCTAATGCTTACTGACAACAATGCACAGCAGCTAAAAGTGCAGCATACACCCTGCATCCCACTACACTGCCATAATTGCAATGTAATGACAACTGTGTGTGAGCTAACAAAACGGCCAGTGGCAAAAAAGAGGAGTCGGTGGACTTGGTCCACAAATTCAATGTCATGTCACATTTGTCTCTTCTGATACCAACAGCTTTAGGATAGACCGTGATTGAAATGCTGTGTAAAGCGCTTGTGTGTGTGTGTGTGTGTGTGTGTGTGTGTGTGTGTGTGTGCGCGCGCGCGCATGTTTGTCCTGTTTCTGTTACCTTGTTGTAAGTTGTAAGCATATACCTTTATTTGATCAAATGCTGTATATTCCTGTCCATACAAAAACATTCTCTTTGTTGCAGACTTTTTCCACTGTCTTCTCCTAAAAAAAAAAAAAATCTTGACCTTAGCTGTCAGCGATGCAGCAGAGAGGCTATTAAGTAGCGCTGAGCACTTCCCCTCCCTCCTCACGCACCCTTTCTGAAAACGCTTTAACCTTAATCAACCTTTTAATAAATTACCTTGTCTGACAATGCACCCCTCAGCTCCCCCCACCGAGTAGACCCTCCTAGACGTCTCTCCCTCCCCAGCTGACACCTTCTCAGTTGGGTTATGAGACACTGCAAAGGCACAGGGCGCCTACAAAGATACAGCCATTGCTGTGAGCATCTGCCTCACTTAGAGCGGTTTGGTCCTCGCTAATTAGCCCTTAATTTCATGTCAGTTTGAATTAAACGTGCAGCAAAAACTCGCTGTGTGTGCGTGCGTGCGTGCGTACGTGCGTGCGTGTGCATGTGTGTTTCACCGTGCTACAGTGCGATTCTGAAATTCTAAAGCGATTGAAACGTGTTCTTTTGTTGTTGTGGGCCAAACAGCTTTTGGAATTATGCCCTAAAAAGTACAACCTTTGAACCATAACAAAATCTGTGTGTGTGTGTGTGTGTGTGTGTGTGTGTGTGTGTGTGTGTGTGTGTGTGTGTGTGTGTCCGTATATTTCTTTGTAGCACGGTGACATCAGCAGTGTTCACGGCTGGGGACAACGTGGTGTCAGGGAGTGACGACCGCACGGTTAAAGTGTGGGATCTGAAGAACATGAGGTCGCCAATAGCAACCATCCGCACCGACTCGGCTGTCAACAGGTAGGCAAACGGAAGCAAAAAGTGTTTGTGGTTACACCTTTTGCAAACATTAGAAGAGGACTGGGCGGCCCAGTAGTCGACTGGTTAGTGTGTCGGTCTCACAGTGCAGAGGTGCAGGGATCGATTCCGGCCTTCCTCTCCCCGTGTCTGCGTGGGTTTTCTCCGGTTCGCTCCCTCCATTTTTTTGTCTCTGCTATTTGGAAGTACAGTCAAACCTCTTTTCAAAGAACCCCGTTTACGTTTCCACCCCTGTGACGCTCACATTTCAAAGTCTTTGAAAGTCTGACAAAAATGTTAAAAAATAGTGAATTTAACTAAAGTACTTACCAATAGAACCGATGAAGAAAATGCTTCACACAACAGTCACAAAGTGTTAACTTAAATATTGCAGGATAAGCGTCTCTGCCAACCAGAGGATCATCGCCCTGCCGCATGACAATCGACAAGTGCGGCTGTTTGACATGAGCGGCGTGCGACTGGCCCGACTGCCTCGCAGCAACAGAATGGTACGAAGGGAACGGAAGCTTTGAGTCAGTGAGTGTCGCGAGAACGCAAACAACAAATATGTGTGTCGATGCAGGGCCACAGGCGCATGGTGTGTTGCACGGCATGGAACGAGGAGAACCAAACATGCAACCTGTTCACCTGCGGCTTCGACCGGCAGGCCATCGGCTGGAACATCAACATCCCCGCCTTGCTGCAGGAGAAATGAAGCCCGGTCGAGCGTTAACGCGCAAATCCCTCCGCATAAACTGCTGTCTTAGAAATAAAGTAAGCCATGTTCACATCTGGTGAGTTGGAAGCTGTCTACGGGCGTGAGGCCGAAAAATATTGAGATGTTGGGCTTAAGCGTGAAATTTCAGGATGACCCTAAAAGGCACTTTAAGCTGTTCAGCTGAATTGCAATTCCATCTGTGAACTTTTGAATAAACTTTTGAAACCCCCGTTGTGAATGTTGCCGTGGAGCTTCGCGTTCGTGAACAGCCTGTCGTGCAAATAACTGAAAAAAACAGTTGGAAGTGCATTCCAAGGTTTGGATAAGGTCGAATTCAGTTCATCTGTGAAGGTGGTCTTGCATCCTGAAATTTCAGCCCAAAAGCCCACATCCCCAACTTTTTGTGAGTCGCGTATGTTCATGTGTATTCACATCACTGCTGTAAAGTTACTGCTGAGTGGTTGCATGAAGAGAAATCGAGCCGCTTCTATTAAATTTTAAAGACAATTTGTTAAGTATGATAAAATGTACGTACGTCTTGTGCCGTTGCCTGAACAAGTGGCCTCCATCAGATTCTTGCAAATGAATGGATTATACTGTTGTATAGTACAGATCCTTTTTGTTCAGAAAGACACCAATGAAGACGTTGTGATCATTTAAGCCTTTTTGTCAAGCTGTAGTAGTGCCTCATGAGAAATCCAAATGATTTGCTTCCTGAACGTTTCACAGCTACACCATTCCAAAAAGAAAAATGATTGTCCACAGTGCTTCGATGTCAACAGTTCAAACTTATGTTGCCTGGTTCCGTGTTTTGCATTGGGACTATTTCCTTTCGCTGTTTGCTTTATTCTGCCTTTCTGAAAAGATGCAAAGTGTTGTAATAATGTGTCAGGACAGTGCATCTTTACGCTCGTTCATGTGAAGAATTTTTTCGAGTAATTATACACCAGTGTTGTTATTTTAGGAGTGACTGCATCCAAATAATGACCCTGTAATTCCGAGGCTTAGTGCATCATCACCTGCCTGTTGCCAACTCAAATGTCTTTTTGTTTTTTTCTGCCTGTCATGTTACATACACAAGTTGTTGGTTACTGCTTATGTTTCACGAATGTGACGTTTACAATTTGTTTTCAAAAATCCCTATGTGACCTCTTGCATCTTTTTTAAGTCGAACACTCTTCATCTGAATATATCATATCAATATAACCGTCTGAAGATTTATTTGCATGGGCGGGTGACAAATACCTTGAAGCACGCTTTTCAAACTCGAGGCCCTTGGGCAAGATCCTTTTATGTGGCCTGCATGAAAGCTTGCCACCGTTTTCCCTTGACTTCTGTTCAAAACTGTCCTTCCTAAAAACGATGAGAAACACATGCAGAGAAACTTGAAATATGATTGGTGCGATTATTATTGTTGTTAATGGTTAAAAACGACATAGTATAGTAAGGCGTTTTTGGC